TACAACATTTTCAAAAAAAAATATTTTGTTTTAGCATTGAATTAGGATGTTTTGTGTTCTATGCAAAAATGGTCTGCAAAATTACATGGTGTCACTGCGCGCACGATTGCAGCCAAAGTTTTTAACTTTTTACCAATCGGTAAAATGCATCTGAAAAAGCATGAAATTGCCCATAAAATGACCCTTGGGTTTTAATATTGGGCCAGAAAAAATGTGGTTCGTTTCCATCTTAAGTTGAAGATGAGCGTTTCAATAGTTTTTCTTGCCCAATATTGAAACCCAAGGGTCATTTTATGGGCAATTTTATGCTTTTTCAGATGCATTTTACCGATTGGTAAAAAGTTAAAAACTTTGGCTGCAATCGTGCGCGCAGTGACACCATGTAATTTTGCAGACCATTTTTGCATAGAACACAAAACATCCTAATTCAATGCTAAAACAAAATATTTTTTTTTGAAAATGTTGTAAAAACTTTTATCTTTCAAATGGTGCCTGCCGTTTGTCTCTGGCAGTCATACTTATCTTTATATTAACGTCTAAACAGGAGGTTCGAAAATCGTCAAAACACGTGCAAATGACGCTACTGCCCCCTTAATTCTATCTTAACATGGAAAGGAATCTTAATCTGCCGTCCAGCACTGTGCGAACTATAAGTGAAAATAATATCTCAAATTATTTCATTTTCTCACTGCATAATGAGAAACTCTTCTTGAGGCGTTGTCTCAACTCGGTTGCGAGAGTTGTGGATGCAAGAAAAGAATTGGTTTTTCCCCATGAACCCTTCTGGGACTTCCCAGAGTGCTCGTCGCATTCCTTCATAAATTTCTGTGACGACTTGCTAACAGGCATGCAAGAAGCGCCGCAGGGCCGCAGGTGTAAGCATCAGGCGTGGATTGTCGCAACTGGCGCGGCATTGCGAAGTCTGTTACGACAAGACACAGTTTGGCGTACACCTACCCTTCAAAAGGAATGAAAGGAACCTAATGGGCTCCAAACCCGCTAGGAACAACATATCAAGAGATGACTGAAGCAAATCTTGAATGTTTTTGGCTGAGCGATAGCGAAGCCTGTTACTCGAATGCGGTTGAAAAGTTTTGTCTGTCTGTCTGTCTGTGTACACTACTCCTCCTGAACGGCTCGGCCGATCTGGCCGAGATTTTGCAGGCTTATTAGGTATGTTCTTAGCTCGGCACACGCGAAATTTGATTATCCTAGCTCACGTAGTTCAGTTTTTATAGCCGAAAAACACCTAAAAAACGTCGAAAAATCGATTTTTTTTCCCTTGCAGATCACTTCCGACAAGTAAAAAAGTTGAAAGGGTCAAGATCGTGTTATCTATAGATGGAGCAACTCTATCTAGAATGAAAGGGGGTCAGCCTAATGCTTATTTGAGTGTTTGTTATAAATATTTGTCTGGATCCTACACATTTACGGATTCTGCAAAATAGTAGTTTTACAGCTTTGCCTTAGCCTATTGAAGGCGTTGGTCCGGATCCTGAAAACATGGAACAGCTGAGCTATATTCAGTTAAGGCTCGGCAGAGTCGGCGAAGCAAAGTCGGCGAAGCAAAGTCGGACTTCGGCGAAGTCGGCGAAGCAAAAGTCGGCGAAAGGGATGGCGAATAAGCGAAACGCGCCGCGGGTGCATTCTTAGGGTATGAAAGCGCACATATTTCGGAAAGCGGAAAGCTCAAGGATCAGTTTGGTATGCACCTTTTGTCATTTCAAGACGGAATATTCAGATATTGCGCTCCCTAACCTGTTAGCAGTACAGTCGTCTGCTAGGCTATACAGATCAGGTTAGGGAGCGTAATATTTGAATATTCTGTCTTGAAATGACAAAAGGTGCATATCGAACTGATCCTTGGACTTTCCGCTTTCCGAAATATGTGCGCTTTCATACCCGCATTAGCTCACCCGCGGCGCGTTTCGCTTATTCGCCATCCCTTTCGCCGACTTTTGCTTCGCCGACTTCGCCGAAGTCCGACTTTGCTTCGCCGACTTTGCTTCGCCGACTCTGCCGAGCCTTAACTGAATATAGCTCTGGTCATGGGCTCTGACGAAAGTTTGGTCTCCTCTCTCTTTTTTCAACTTTGCTTTGGCGTGCTGCAAAATGTTAAGCAACAGACAAAAACTAGGGAAAAGGTTAGACGTGTACTGAGATCCAGCGTTTGGAGGATAATCCAGCGTTCTGTCCGAGGTACTTGAAAGACATTTTTATGCTTAAATGTGCCCCTTTAATTCCATTATGGACAGAGGTAATGTCTGATTGCAGAGGCGAAAATTTCTATTTGCCTCCTTCGAACGCAAACGCTGAAGATTATTTTAAAACTGAGAAGGATTTGACACACAAAGATTCACTGCTCAACAAGATTGGGAAGGTGGAAAAAGAGAGGAAATACATAGAGACAAAATTGGTGAAGGTCGATAAAAAGCTTATAACAAATAGCAAAGCATATCTGAAGTATCGCAACATTGACAACTCAAAACTTGAAGAGCGAGCAAAAAAAAAGCAAGAAACTCAGCCTCTTAATGCCACGTCCTGCAAAGCTTTTAATAAAAGTAACTCCTCAAGTGGCAATGTGAAGGAAAACAGATTCAGTCAAGGTAAATAGGGTGAGCAAGAAACTGAAAACTGGAAACTTCACAAATCTGCCAGAAAGAGATCGTCCTTTGATGGGTTCAACATAAAGAAGAGATTTATCAAATCACAGCAAGGTGCAGAAACAGAAAATTCAGAAGTAGACGAGATCCCGGAACATTTTCCGGGATCGGAACGGACTGCAGATGAACAACTGCAGTTTCATCTACGGTTCCACTACAGATCCTTCCACGCGGGGAAAAAAAAGTAAGACATTTACCAATGAATGTAACACAGAGACCTGGAGTAGTCCCCCCGAATCAGAAAAAAACGCATGAAGAGGCCTTTAGCTGCCAAAGAGAAGTCAACTGCAAAATCATCTGCCAGGAAATTGTTGAATAACCTCCTCACGAGTGTCGACAATGAGGTTCAGAGGGAATCACCAGATGTTATCTTCGACAAGGCCGAGCCTCCGCTGAAAACATTAGCAAGAACATACTGTGAGAGAACATACAATATGCCATTCCCCCCGTTGCAACTTTTAATAACTTATCATTAGTAGGCCGACTTTCACCGAATGAAGTACAGTATGTTTGGAGTACATGCAGAGGTGATGAAACTAGGCCTGTTCTTATTTACGGTGACCTCGACAGGCCGCTGCAACTTCTGGATTGTTGTGAGCTGTTGGATGAAAAGCCCCTGGGCACAGCAAAGATTGATGCATGTTTAGACACTGTGTAATCTTTTTCAAACATTTCTACAAAATTGCAACATGAAACGGGGTTGAAACAAGCATTTTGAGATAGTCCCCTGAAATACTTTTTTTTTCTGGCCAGAAAATTTTTCCTGGCTAAGATTAGGTCCATTTGGAGAAACAGGCAGCGAGACATCGCGAAGCCTGTTACGGCAAGACGTGGTCTGGCGTAAACCTACCTAGTAAGATAGTCTTGGGACATATTTTTTGGTCCCAAACCATCTAAGCCTCATATTCCACAAACCGTAAGAGACAGAGCAAAACTTTCTAAAAACGACTTATCAGCAATCAGAGTTTGGACAAAATGGTCTGCATGCAAGCAGGGTACTGCGGAGGAAACCTTGACTGGGAGTCAGCGACAGAAGGGGAGAAACAAAAAAAGCATCGCGTGGTGGGGGTCGGAATCTGCGTAGTGGGGGTGAAGGCAGCGCGGGTTTTTTCATACCGCAGGACCCTAAAGAATAGAATTCCAGAACATTCTAGTTAAAAAGTGGAATTTGGTCAAAAATGACTTAAGAAAGAAAGCCAGAAACTTCGATTACTCACAATTCCCACACTAATTGACCCAGAGGGCTGGAACTGTGTGGGAAGTTATCCTACGTTAACCAAGCAGCTCAGCACAGCACTAGAGGCCCAAATACACAGCACTGGGCAGTCAGTCAGCCGTTGGCACCCGAGGAAACCAGTCAACCCTTGCTGCAGCAACTTGCTCCTGCTCCCGAGCGGCGGAACCATGAGCGGACCTGCGAAGCCAACGGTTTACCTTCGAGTCAGCGTCGGCGGGTCCAATGAGAGTACACTGACGCATGCGCTGCCGTTGTTGCCCTGTCTACAAGTCGTGTGTCCCGCACTCTTTGTTTTATTCTTTCCTAATAATTAGACTCTTCACAGTTTTAAGTTTCATGTTTCTACTCGTTTACCATAGCTATGGGTATCATCTAAGCCATAAATGAGCAAAATTGTCAATGGTCAATTTCGACCACTATCAATCGGCTCTCGAATGCCCCTGAGGTTTCGTATCATCCAAGCCATAAATGAGCAAAATTGTCAATGGTCAATTTCGACCACTGTCAATCGGCTCTCGAATGCCCCTGAGGTTTCGTAAGGTGAGCGCCGCGCACCGAGAGGGCGGAGGAGGAGAGTCCCAGCCGGGAGGCTTCCTCCCTTTAATTATTACCCGCCGGCGCCCCTGACGCGCAACGCACGCACGCACATGTCCACTCCGGGAGCGCAGCCTTGCCAGAGCGGATGTTGTTACCTCATATGGGCTTGTGCGCTCCGAGAACAGGACCAGCCCATTATCCAAAGTCACTAGGGAAAGAATGATTTTGCCCTATTCGAGATTTAAAGTAAGCTGAGACGATCATGTGTGACTCTCTTGTAGCCCAATGTGTGTTCAAAGCGTAAAGCGTGTAAATCTGTTCCAAGGGAGAAATACTGTCTGAAACAAACCCGGTCCACGGTCTAACACGTTACTCTCTCCTCTCGCACTCTTGGATTCATCGATATCAGTCTCGTCGTCATGATCCGTCTAGACGCTGCCCACGCGGTCGCTATCAGCCGTCTGCCCGCCGGGCCCGCCGCCGGTACACGTGGTGGCCGCGCCGGCCCGTGGAGAGGCGCGCGTGCCGCCGTCTGCCGACACGCCTACTTAAGGACCGCGCACCTCAGCGCCGCCCAGCCGCACCGGGAAGCTTGAGCGAGCAGGACGAGCAAGGAGAGACCGCAGCGCCAACATGAAAGTCGTGCTGATGACCGTGGCCGCGCTGGCCTGCATCACCGTCATGCCCGTGGTCGTGTACAAGCTCACGGCCGTCTCCGGCGACACTGCTCGCACCACCGTCTCCGGGGACACTTCGGTTTCGCCAGCCGTCACCGAGAGCGTCAACAACGAGGGGCTTAACCAGCAGCGAGGTAAGGCAGCGCAACCGGTGACGTCATTTTGTTAGAATAAAAGGGCCCCTCTGAAATTTACGGCTGATGCACAGTGCGCTATAGAAGACCGCCAGGTGGCCAAAATTCAAGACGCGTCCTGAGCCCGTTAGTCAGCAATAGGGACTCGAACCGAATGTGTGACCCCGCCCATGGATTGGATTGCATTCCGATCATTTGTTGTCAAAGCAAACTTTAAAGGTCAAAGTAGTCGTAAGTTTTATGGGAAATTAAAAAGTTGACCAAAACTGAACACGTCTTTTCGGCCATTTCGCCACTCTTGGACTTTTTTTAAACTTTTGTATTTTTCATCCCAACCTTTAACATGTGTTGAGATGTGGAATATGTTACGAGGCAGAAGACGTCGTGCGTCCGGGCCACCAGCTATACACGTGGGGGGGTGCCTTTTTATTCAAGGAGGTACATTTCCCCGCGAAGGTATAGTTTTTGTATATATAATTGACTTCTAATGTACCACAACTAACTGTTCGATGACCTGGAAAATTCGCTCAAACCCCTTTGAAACAAAACCAAAATGTGCCCACCGGGGTCTCGCTTAAGTCCAACCAATCTCACAGGCTCTTGTGTTGCAGGCTTGCTACAGCGATTGGTGGACAGTCTGCACCGCGACGACGATGTCCGAGCACTGCACTTCCCATCAAATACCAACTCTAGAAGCCCCTCACCGAATTCAGCAAGCGTCTCTACACGAGCAGCTGGTCTCCACGACCAGTCGAGTCCGTCAAGGATCGCGAGCGTCGCTCCAGCTCGTCATCCGTAGTGCAAAATTGGAATGAATGTGGACTATGATCTCAATCGACTGAGGGTTGAAGGCAACCCGAAAGGGAGAATGAATCTCTCGAGTATTATTATTATTAGAATATCAGTAAGTTGATGGGCCGTTAAATTGTCAACCGTGGTCCTTTTGCAGGGGTCCGGAACATGCCGGAACAGAGAGCAAGTTCCGGGTGTTCCGTGCTTTTTCCGGCAAATCCTGGGTTAGCATGTTCTTCATTAGGGTCGGAACCATGGGCATTTCTTTCTTGGATTCGACAAAATATACCTCAGCAACCTGCCACAACCCGGGACAGGTTTCACGTTCCGGACCCCTGCCCTTTTGCCCCTCCTAAAAAAATAAAATTCGCAAATTATTTCTCTTTGTGGTGTGTCTACACTAGTCGTGACCGACTAAAGAACAAGAAGAAGCGCGAAACTGGAAATGGAATGGATCCGGTTGGAGTAAGAGTGAATATTGTAGTGAAGTTAGATCCCATGATTTGAACGCCCGCGCGTCAGCCGCGCGGCGCGAGACCCCGTAGCAGACGACGTCACCGCCGCCCTGACGGAGCCGTTGGCGACGGCCTGCCGAGTGTTGAGTCCCGCGCGGGGCCGAGCCGTGGCGAGCCGCGCCGCGCCGCCACTCTCCACTCGCCTGGAGACCGAGCTAACGGGCGCGTCGCTCTGTGTCGCTCTCGCCCGTGTTGTGTGTTTACTGTTACTGATCTGAATAAATACTACTTGTGCTCCCAATCCTTGTCTCTCTTGCCTCCCGCGCTACCTCACAACAATATTTCACGACAAAACATCGACCACCAGCGAAATTTTTGTGTCGGAAACAGCAATGTGGTGTAAAGTGAAGTGTATTGTGTGTGTCTCATAATGTGAATGTAAGTGTGATGATATGGATGAATCCGTTAATGTATATATACTGTGGATTTCTGCTTCTGAAGTCACTCAGACGCTGTTTCTGGTAAATTAAATAAGTTGTGTCTGTCATAAAATCGTATCTTAGTTTATGCACAAATACCTGGAAATCCAACATTAGTCACAGGGCCTTAGCTGCCTGGTTTTACCGCACTGACTGCATTGAGACAAGTCGACTTAACTCCTTTGGACAATATAAAAAGCGGAAAAGGGGGATTTCAGTTAAGTCGAAAATTAGCACGCCCCTGTATTCAATTTGGTACATTTTGGCTAAGCGATAGCGAAGCCCGTTACTCCAGTGGGGTTGAAAAACTTTGTAAGCGGTCTTGTTGCCGCTTCTAGCTCTGCATCCGATCCCACTCATCCCATTCATTCATCCGTTCCATTCCGTCCATCCATCCAGCGCGCTCAGAGGGGACTGTATGGTCGACGTCCTGCGCCGCCGCGCCAGTCTCCACTCCTCACAGCCTCCCCCTCCCTCCTTGCCCCCTCCCTGCCCGGCCGCACGGTAAAAACGGTACCTGGTTTTCCCAGGAGCCCTACGGCGAAGGCATAAGCGATTTCCAGGAGGTTCCTGGGAAAACCAGAACCCGTTTTTACCGTGCGCTCCACAGCAAGACCGCTTTGCTATTGCCTTGGCAGGACTTTTTAATTTTTCCCCTCTTTTAGTTTACTTATAAGGTTATGTTTGAAAGGGAACGGGGGAACTGGCAAACTGGGGAATTTATGCATTGGACCATTTTTGGCTGAGTGATAGCGAAGCCCGTTACTCAGGTGGGGTTGAAAAGTTTTTCATGTCAGCGTGTGTGCGTGTGTGTCCGCACTACTCCTCCTGAACGGCTCGGCCGATCTCGGTGAGATTTTGCACACTTTATGAGTATGTCCTTGGCTCAGCACACGCGAAATTTCACCATCCTAGCTCAACTGGTTTAGTTTTTATAGCCGAAAAACACAAAAAAACGGCGAAAAGTCGAGTTTTCCGCAGGCAGATCACTTCTGTCTTGAAGAAAGGGGGTCGCAACAAGTTAAAAAGTTCCAAGGGTCAAGATCGTGTTATCTGTAGATGAAGCAACTCTATCTAGAATAAAGGGGGGTCTGACATCACGGAGCCTGTTACGACAAGACGCGGTCTGGCGTACACTCTACAAAAAATGTCCTGTCAACGCCGTTAATTTATTACCAATGTTTGCTGTTATGCAATTCACGGCGTTTGCTGTGACTAGTTCACGGCGTTCACTGTGATCTCGGTTACAGGGTTCACTGTGATCTGGCCACAGTAAACGCCGTGAATTGGAGCCCGATTTGCAGTACTTCGGTGCTTAACGGCGTCAAACTCACAGTGTTTACTGGGGACCAGATCACAGTGAATCCCGTGAGCAGATCACAGTAAACGCTGTGAATAGACCTACAGTGAAAACTGGTAATAAATTAACGGCATTTACAGGACATTTTTGGTAGAGTGTAAACCTACCTTGTTAACTGTTGCTACGGAATAACTTTCAAAAATAGATATTTTGTGAACGAAACCTAAATTGAATTGCTCATTATCTTCTCACTTCTGGCTGCTTTTTCTTCGGTTTCAACCAGTCGCTTATATATTCTTCAAACCTACTACTGTAGTTCTGCCTTTTCTTCACCCATGGTTTTCGTTGCCACAGCCATCAAAAATGAAGTTGAAGGCAGCAGCACCACCAAAGGCAAAGAAGCCCGCCAAAGACGGTGAGTAAATAATTAGCTCAGATCCAACAATATGTTGAATTTATTGGCTGAGCGATAGCGAAGCCTGTTACTTCAGTGGGGTTGAAAAGTTTTGTCTGTCTCTGTGTCCGCACTACTCCTCCTGAACAGCTCGGCCGATCTCGGTGAGATTTTGCACACTTCTTCACATTTGTTCTTTCCCGAATAAACTTTGTTATCTGCAACGTAAGCAAGAGACAGCTAAGCATCAATGAATGAAATTCGTAGTTTTAATAACCCAAACTGAACGATAAGGAAACCGATTGTGCCTATACAAGGTAGACGTACGCCAGAGCGCTAGTTACGACAATCCACGCCAGGCGTTCACACCCACCATAGCCTGCGGCGCTTCCTGCTTGCCTTCAGCAAGCCGACGCGGAGATCTATGTCGAAGCAATGAGTTCAGCACTCCGTGAGCAAGGCTAAGTCGCAAAATCAAACTCAGTGATGACCCACATGCGGAACACGAGACACAGCAAGGGACAAGGCAAAGCAGCGTGAACGGTAGACGAATGAACCCATAAGGGAGCCAGATCACCGCCGTGAGGAAGAATTCAACTGTTCGTGATCGAAATAGGGTACTTCGGAGAAGATTCAGACCGGAAGTCAGCGCGACAACGGGAGAAACAAAAGAGCGTCGCGCGGCCGTGCCAGGCGGTGGTGGTGGCAATAATGGGCAGAGTGGGGGTAAAGGCGGCGCGCGCACGCTGCCCCCACCTTTCCCAAACTGACCCCCACCACCGCCGAGCACGGCCGCGCGACGCTCTTTCGTTTCTCCCGCTGTCGCGCTGACTTCCGGTCTGCATCTTCTCCGAAGTAAGGGAAGGTGGGGTACCATGTGACACGGCCACCATGTGACTTTGGCTTTTTCTCCCAAACGGCTTGCTATCCAACAGCGGCAAGAAGACTCAAAGGAAGGTATCATGAAGGAGAATCGACGTGCAATAGGTCGCGACTCTCCTTCGAAAAGGACGGGAATGGTAGCGATCAGAATTGAAAACCGTCTTAAAATAGCTCATTGGAAACTTTTTCTATTTCCCGCCGCGTCCGCTTTTTACCTTTAAAATACATTTTAAGGACATGTGCTCTGCAAGATGTTCTTAGCGCAAAATAAGCTTTGGCTCGATTCTCTACGGCATAAACTTTGAGCGTTATTGCTGTTTCCCCTAAAACTGTTGATCTGGGCACCATGTGACACCACTGTCATTCGCTATGGGATTCCACGATTCACTTAGTTGAATGTGTTCAGTCTATGACATTTGTACACTAGTAACTAAAACCTTTATTGCTCGGGAACCAAAGAAGATAAATTAATAAACTCAACGGAAATAAAAAGCTGGAAGACTTCTTCGTTCATTCTTTGCGTATAGGTACGCTGATTAGGATTTAAACCCAGACGAAAGGCCACTGTCACATGGTACACTAAGGCTGTCACATAGTGTGCTACGTGGGGTACGAAGTGACACTTTGACTTGGCCCATTCAACTCGGGATAACTCAGCAACCAAAACAGATAAATTAGAAATCTCAACAGAAATTATAAGGTGAAGAATCTTTTTGTTCACATGTCTACTGATGGATGTAATGTGATTGGTATTATTGGGTTGACGGGCATTTAACAAAAACCGTCACATGGTACCCCACCTTCCCTTACTCTATTAACCATATTAGACTTGCTACAGCAACTCATAGCAAGCCAGGCCCTGAAATAGCACAAAAGAAGTCCGGTGCACCTGTAGTCATTACATTGGAAGTTAGGCTCCTGCACACTAAACTTCTTACGGATACATCCTACCTGTATTACGGACATTTTTGTGCAATTGCAATTACGGATAGATTTTGCTTGTAATACGGATGATTTTGACCGTAATACAAAGGTTTTCGTGTCCGTAACATACAGACGAAAATATCCGTATGGTACGGACGTAAAACTCTTTGTAATACGGATGATTTCATCCGTATTACAAGCAAAATCTATCCGTAATTGCAATTGCACAAAAATGTCCGTAATACAGATAGGATGTATCCGTAAGAAGTTTAGTGTGTGGACCCCTCTTCCAGCCCCTCGTTGAAGAGGTCTTGCCGAGACTTATCGAAAGCCGCATTAAGAATTTCTTCAGTCGGTCGACTCCCGTGTACCAAGATCTTGATCTGGCCATTTCGTAGAAGCGGCCGATATTGTCGGAACCTGGTCCATTGCATTTGTCTGGTCGTCCTGATTCCAAAACTATCCCCACAAGCAGTGCTAACATCCTCCTCTACACTGAGAAAACCTTACAAACTATTTTGGGCCTTACAAAGAAAAGTAGTGTGTATAACAAAGTATTTTGAGCATACGTAAGCTTACAAAGAAAATACTTTGTAATTTATAAACTATTTCTTCGTATAACAAAGTATTTTAGTTTGTTATATGTATGCTCAAAATACTTCGTAAGGTTTTAAGAGTGTAGCTGACGTGAATCTTGCCCTTTTCTGCCGTTTTCGAAGTGATTTTAGCCTACTATGAATAAAGTAATCGAGATAGAAAGCTGAATTTTGGGGTGAGGCCAGCCAAGCATTTATCTTATGACCATGCAACATCTCATCCGATTCGGCCGAGCCGTTCAGGAGTGGTGCGGTCAAACACACACAGACACACTGAGAGAAATAATGAAGATTGTGGCTGTTAAACCCGAGGGGGAAATCACTCTTAAAAACTGTGACCCGACTACTCCCTATTACGTTCGCGATTACGTTCTATTACGCTATTACAGAAGGCTTATTACGCTCGAAAATATCCAGATTTAGGCTAAAATCGGACCCTAAATACGGAAAATTTTAAAAAATTTGGCTATTACGCTATTACTATTACGCGTAATACTAGGAATCAGTGACCCGATTATTACGCGAGTGATTTCCCCCTCGGTTAAACCTAATGCCACTCTTCACCGTTCATCGAAACAAGGCGTTAACCGTATCGTGGGATGAAATAGACACTGAGGTCCAAGAAAGCAGGATTTGGTCAACAATCCTACTTGATTAGTCTTCTGACCACGATTTCCGTTAAAACCCGAGTCGGATCATTTTTGTTAGTCTTGTTGATATAAATTCATTTCCGTCGTGAAATCGTTCGTATCGCGATTTATAACTTTTGCCTCTATTCTACAGTTTGGCGAACGCAGAGTCTGAACAGTTCCCACGGTACGGTAATAACACCTTCTTTCTATGAACAGTGAGGAGTGGCATTAGGTTTAACAGCCCCAATCTTCATTATTTCTCCCAGTGCAGGAAAAACTTAACAACTCCACCCGAGTTACGGGCGTCGCTATCGCTCAGCCAGAAAATATGTTCCGCTTACTCACTTACGTGTCCTAAAGCACATGCATTCCAAATAAGTTTCTTTACTCGGGGGCGACTACATAGAATGTTTACAACAGGACACCTCGAATTGACGCAACATCGCTAAGCCTTGTTACGACAAGACACGGTCTGGCGTGCACATAGATGCCTTGAGCATAATATCAGTACGATCAAAGCTGGTGTACGCCAGACCGTGTCTTGTCGCGAGCGCTCGCAAACCGTCACAGGAAGCGTTCCGCGATGTAGGCTCTTAAAAGGGATCATGGTCACCACTCATATTGGTCTTGCATTTCATCCGACGTCTTGCAGGAGCTACAAACGAGTCAGAGGCACCGATCGCCACAAACGAGTCGGGCGCCTGGACCCGAACACAAGTAACCAAGCACATCGGCTTTTCCTTTGTCTTCTTGTCCTCATAATCAGACATCATCAGGGTAAATTTGTAGCATTGGTGGTAGGGAATGCCAGGTTGCAGTTGATCAGGTGATTTTATGCCATGGCAGCATGGCCAGTGCACCTGTTCCTTAGCAACTCGAACACTGACATCTTAAACATGTATAGAACATGCATTAAACCCAAGAACTAAATATAATATCGAAAGGTTGATGTATTGGTCCGAGCTACCACTGAAAAAGGAATGTTCGGGCCATGCTGGCAAACGTTCCCCATATCAGCCAATACCTGGAGTACCTAACCTTTAGTATTATTTGACTTTCTAACCTCTCGTTCAAAAGAACGTGGCGACACCTATCAGAAACCGTAATAAGATTTTCAGTCGGTCGCTCCCCTTTTTCCGGGTTTCTGATCTAGCCAAGGAGGTCTTTTTAAGATGACCCCTACCCCCAAAACAAGTTTCATCAAAATCGGAGAGATGAAATTCCAAGCGTTCGTTGGTTTGGCATGGAATCGCCCATGTATGACTTCTTCAATGTCCCATATTTTATTTTTGCAATGAACGTATGTTTTCTCCACTTTGCTCACATTGGCTTCTTTCAAGGCTTTTGCAACAACTTTAAAAATTTTAGCTTTAGTGAGATGCTGGCCCAAGAGCACACACAAATACAAAAATTGTGCACATGATTCCAGAAGGTAAAGATTATGCAAAATTACTTTAGCACAAAAAGACAAGAACACTACAGTAAAAGCCGCTTAAAGTGTTGATAGAAATTGAGGTCCCATCTACCTATGATTATTGCACTGAAGATTCTCCTTTGCTAGAATCATTATGTGATGCCAGTATATGCCTGTTTACATGGAAGCGGCCGATATTGATGGAACCATGTCCATTGAATTTGTCTGGTCACCCCGATCCCAAAAATACCCCATATGCCGTGCTAGCACCACTTGTGGCCGAAATCCTCCCGCTCATGTGTAAAACCTTGCCTTATTCGGCCGGTTTTAAAGTTATTTTTATTGCTGGTATGACTTAAAGGATTGATATAGTACGCTGAATTTCAGTGTGAGGCGAGCCACGGACATCTACATACCTAATGACCCTGCGAAATCTCAGCCAGATCGGCTGAACCGTTCAGGAGAAGCAGTGCACTGCAAAGCCAGTTGTAAGTTTACTTGCCACAAATTTGGCAAGCCGTTTTAATTGCCAAAATTTGGCAAGCTATGGTCGGAAATCTTCACAAGCTTGCCAAATTTTGGCAAGCTGCGGAGTATTTCCAGGCCAAGCTTGCCAATTCTTGGCATTTGAAACGGCTTGCCAAATTTGTGGCAGGTAAACTTACCACCGGCTTTGCAGTGTTGATGCCATTTTCTAGTTTCACCAAAAAAAAAAAAACAGTTGCTTTGTGCTGCCTGAGTAAGTGCCTGTCTTCTGTGCAGTTTGGAATCGTAGTGTCTGACAGGGTTGTTATGTTTGATTGGCTCTTTGCACCCTTAACATGACAGATAGATTTGTCAGGGAGAGTGTTCCCATGTGTTCTGTCCATTTCTGGATCCCAGACCCGTAGTAGCCGGGTCCGCCGTACAGTGGGACGAAACACGAAAAAAGTGGTCATAATTCTACGAGGCTCTGATTGTCTTCAAAATTTATACCCCGCGAATTTCGAGGGCGCTGAGCCCATTTTTGACGAAATCAAAACCAAAAATCGAACACCAGGGGCGTTTCTAGCTTACGTGAAGGGGGGTGAACGATTTGGAGTGCCCCACTGACGGCCAAAATGTTTCCTCGGGGGTTTTCGAGGGCCTGAGCCCATTTCTGACAAAATCCAAACCAAAAGTCGAACGCCGGGGGGCGGATCCAGCGGGGGTGTTAAAAAATGCATGGACAATGTCATTTCACCACATGCTTTGTTACGACATGTTCTTGTTGGTTAAGTTGGGTCATCATTTATAAAAGTCAGATTTCACTTTAACACAAATAATATATTTTCCCTGAGGTCAACCAAAAATAAAATTTTTTTGCAGTCAGCAGAAATAAAAATATGTAAATCAGAAGTCTAGAAGCAATTTCTTCATATCTTCCGTCGGCTCCAGTGATCTCAACTTTGGGAGACGGAAAGGAGACACAAACGGATCCGATGTTATTAGAAGTCGTTTCATGAGATAAATCCAACCATCAGTTCTAAAAAAATATTTGAATGAAGGCAATGAATGTGAATTCATAGGTGAGGGGGTAAACACTCGCGTAACCGCGTATTACGCGTAATACACGAAATTGTAATACCATGTTTGGGTATACCAAATTTTGGCATTTTAAGGCCGTCATACACGTGTAATATCCCCGTAATACGTTGTAATTCCGAGTTTTCTGTACACGATTTCTTGAAGTGGTTATCCCCTCGTTCATGGGTAGGGTTTGCATTTGAGTTAATATTATTCTGAGACTCACCTAGAACACTTTCGAGTGTGGTTTTCCCTAAACTTTCTGAGGTCCTTGTTTCGGCTCTCTTGAGCCTCCTCAGACAAGGACCCCACAGCAAGAGGCAAGAACTCAATACTATCAGCCCCATGAATTAAGAGTTTGTAGACAGCTTGAGGCGTGTAGTACCAACCAGTTTGCTGTCTCTAGGCAGTACACGCGAAAAGCTGGTATGTCGATTGCGTGACTACAGGATACAACCTTAAAAAGCATAATCATTGGAAATCAAAACGCTATACAAACTTCTACCTATAAACGCCTCGTGAAACTCTCTATTTGATGAACCCGAATGGTTGAGCGAGTATCAGTTGCCCGAGCCATTTCCGGTTTTGAGATTTTTGTTGATCGACTCTTGAATAATTTGAACTTACACGGTAAGACTTGGTTCTGGATCTTCCAGGACCGTCCTGGTTTTCCTATGTGTTGAGCATAGGAGAAACCAGGGCGGTCCTGGAAGATCCAGGACCGAGTCTCACCAAGTAGCTGAGAGTGGGTGGCAGAATGGCGGCCGAGACACTACCAAGACCTTAACTTTTATTCCAGGACTTTCACCACCTTGAGCTGAATCTGTCGAAGTCACGTCCGTTTAATAGGGTACTTTGGAGAAAACCTCGACCGGAAGTCATCGACATTACGGGAGAAACAAAAGAGCGACGCGGGGCTGGTCGGTGGTGGGGGCTGGGATGGGCAGAGTGGGGGCAGCGTGCGCGCGCCGCCTTCACCCCCACTCCGCCGTTTCCGACCCCCACCACCGGTCTGCACAGCCGTGCGATGCACTTTCGTTTCTCCTGTTGTGTCGATGATTTCCGGTCGAAGTTTTCTCTGAAGTATAGTCAGTCGTCCCAGCGAAAGGTAGGGATTCTTGTGACCGTTAAAATAACCATCTCCACCTCGAAAGTCCGCCCGCACCAGCCCCCGCGCTCCCCCCGGCCCTGTAGAGGGCGTATTTGTAACGGTCGGTAGAATTTCTACCTTTGGCTGGGACGACTATAACCTCTCTGCAAACTCAAGTGTGTGCCAGGCATGCACTTCTTGGTGCATGCCAGGCATGCACCAGGAAGTGTGTGCTTGAAGGCATGCACCAAGAAGTGCATGCCTGGCACACACTTGAGTTTGCAGAGCTATCGAGCATTGTGCCACATTCGGTTTGGATGTGAATATGCTAATTTTCAACTAGTTCACATTGCAACGAATGCGACTCAATCCCGTAACGAACGTGACGCTTTGTCACATTAATTTGAACTTGATGTCATGTCCCTGGAACGAGTGTGCCCGCGCATTTCTCATCATTGTTCTGTCTATCTGTTCTGCTTCAGGTCCACCACTTCTCAGCCCAACTCCGAGCCATTGATCTTGTGTCAAACTTGACGAAATAGCGGCCACGGCGCCACGAGGAAGGTACGCCAGTCCGAGGTTAGTTGGCGAAAATCGCCCATCTTAGTTTTCAATGGGGCATTTCATGCGAGGTCTGGACCGGAAGGCAAGGGCTGCCATCTGTACCGGAAACATAATTTAAGGTGCGAAAGCGTCTCTGAGTCTTAACGTATACATGGGCTCGCATGGGCTAAAGTACCTGACAATGACCTGATAAGGTTCTCCAACGAATCTTGAAACGGAACCAGAACAAAAGTAAGCTCGAGGAACAGCTTCTGCGCATGCGCTCAGGGTGGTTGGGGAACGTTTGCTGTTTCTAGTGCTCACTTTTGCTCTTCTTCTGTTTCAAGATTCATTGGAGTACCCTTTAGTCAAGCAATGAGTCCGTTACGTGACGAAATTAGCTAGTTGTGTATGAGTTTCCGGCCAAGATCGCGGCTCCTGGTTCCAACCTTGTCCGAAATACCCCACCCGATCGAGCTCAGGGATTTGAATGCAGACTACACTGTGAGAAAAAAGTACGGAACATGTCTGGTCAATAATTTGCCTGGACCGTCCGTACTTGCCAACTACGGACGTTCCGTACTCTTATTCCGTACCCATTCACATGGGTTCATATGGAGCAAGTACGGAACGTTCCGTACCCCCGTACTGTATTTTTCTGTACCATTTCCGTACTAAAGTACGGAATTTTTTACAGTATTCAGTTTCTTCAGAGTCGGCCACCGAATCTTGAAGGGGCGAAGAACAACTTCAGTACGTTGTAATACCCGCGTCTTGCTCATCCGTTGCAACAGGTTCCAGTACTCACTGTTGTTCCTCCTTTCCCGATTCAAGATCCAGTGAAGAATTCTGTATAGGGATCTTTTCGCGGAGTCGTCATGTGGAAGATGTTCTGAAGTTTCTGCTTGTACGCATGCTTGACAGTTAAGCTAGGCTAAGCTTCTTAAAAGGTGGATCGAGTCAGGCGCGTTGAGTTGCGGTGGGGTGCGCAATAGGATTTCTTGCATGGAAGAGCACTAACGGAAATTAAGACGGTTCAATGGAAAATGGGCGCTTGGGATGAGCTCTCGTCATCAGCCGCGGACATATCTCAGAATGCCATCTTCAACTTCAGTGTTTGCTGTCCTTCTTTCTGGCTTTAGTTCCTTCCGATGTACCGCACAGTTCTGCTACATTCTTTGAACTCCTTCGGCCTCACGGTTCAGCGGAAGTCTTGCCTCTAGAGTAATCGTGTCGCTGGATCCACTTTGGGCCACGAACCGTAAGTCGGATGGCGCCGGTCAACTAGCAGTTTACTTGCCTTCTAACAGGCGTGGCAGTACGATTGATTCACAATACGATATAACTGCACCATCTTCAATGAAAAAGAAAATTTCGTGTATTATTTAAGTAGCTGCCTAGCATTTGCTCTAGTCTCAAACACTGAAATTTGGAGTACTGCAGTTGAAAGTGCTTCACCACCGGTTTCCTCGACCATCCTCTCCACTCTTTCTCAGGTAGCCAGGGTAAAGCTTCAAACCTGAACATCCGGGAAAGATCAGGGAATTTCGACAAATGTAGGGAGAAAACTTTCGTTTGATCCAATTGCTCGTCAATTGCGTACTCAAGTGAATCTTGGAACAGCAGAGAAAGAATTTAGGTTGGCTCTTTAGGCGTACTCCTTTGAACAAGTCAAACACAGGTGAAACTATAGCTTAGTATTTACCCTCTGCTTCCAAGCGTAATCAGTCAACGCTTGAAATCAACCGTAACAGGCTCATCGGCCAAGATTCCCCCTATCCAAATGTATGGGGGAATTTCCCGAGTTTGCTTCATTTCAAGCGTAATATCTTCAAGCGTAACTTCATGCTCGGCTTGAGTAGCATAGAGCTACGCTTGAGTTCTACTAGTAAAGGAAATGTCATGTGTCCCCAAAATTAGGGGAAACCGATAGGATGTTTTGTTAAAACCTTGAAACTAGAGTCAGCCTCGCCCTACTGCCTTTCACTGGTAGAACTCAAGCGTACTTTTACGCCTTTCTTCAAGCGTAGTAGATCTACGCTCGGCTTCAAGCGTAGTTCTCCATTTCGCCTCTTTCCCGCCTATCTAAATGCATGGGAGAATTTCTTCTCTATGCTTGACTTCAAGCGTAGTTGTATGCTTGAATGAAGCATACAACTACGCTCTAGTTTTACCAGTGTTGCCTCTTTAACTTTTGGACTGTTGTTGCAGATGGAGTGTTACGTGTGCTTAGACCAATTTGACATCTACTCCGCTGACCGTCGACCCAAGGTCTTGCCGTGCGGCCACTCCTTCTGTCTGCGGTGCCTGCAAGGGCTGCAGATCAGGAGGTGTCCTCTGGACAACAAAGTGAGTTGTGCCTTCAGGTCTCATGACAACGTTCAGTGTAAGCTAGATTTCACTCTCTGAAAGTAAGTTGCTGATTATGGGATTTCACCTTGCATACTAACGAATGCAATTTCTCGGTAAACGAAATAGTGAAGACTAACTTTGGGGGTACCGACCTGTTGATTGAAATTTTTCGCTGTCAGTATTAATTTATTAGAGCTGACATTGATATTAGAGCTGACTGACGTTAGTTACCATATCCCTTTCGTGTTTCAGGTGTTCGCCGAAGAACCGCAGACGCTGCCTGATAACTTCCTTGTCATCCAGTCATGCAACACGTAAGTGACCCCACTTTGTTTATGTGTGTTTCTGGAAGATCTGTTAATATTAGTAAGAAATATTGAGTCTTACGAGTCTTGCGTACTGAAAGAGTAAATCTTTCTGTAAGCACATGCTAAGTACAAGAAGGATTAAAATCTTTTTGAAAGCACCTGCTCACTCTCATTCCAGGAACGTGACATCACGTTGAAATGAACGTCTTAAAATGTCACTCACGTTCGTTTGAGCATTGTGTCACATTCGTTTGAGTGTGAATTGGCCAAAAAGCAGCTTGTTCACATTCAAACGAACGTGACACACTGCTCAAACGAACGTGACATACTGTCGCGTTCGTTTCAACGTGATGTCTAGGGTTCTAAAAAAACGTGAAAATTATTTTTGATGAAAAAAACCATGGAAAAAAACGGTTTTTTTCCGAAAAAAAAACGGAAAAATATATTTTGATTTGAAAATTGTTTGAATCGGTGGCGGGAGTAGATAAGACTCAAATGGTTGCAGAAACAGAGCTCCTGTCGGGAAATAATTAAATTTTACTTGAATTGCACTTAAAATGTGAAAAAAGCTGTTATTTAATTGTTTCGCTTTTCTTAATCAGTAGAAGACTTATTGAGAGCGATTCTATCGCTTATTCCTCATGCTTCCATGCCTTTTTCAAAGTGGGTCCCTTGCTCCAATGCTTTATACCTTTCTATTCGAGTCGATTGGAAACCTCAAATGCTTCAATTTACGTCCATTTTTATATTTTTCATATTTTTCGAAAAGTAAAGCGATGAAAAGAAACCGAAAAAAACCGTTGTTTTCGCAATTTTTCCAAATATTTTTCACGCTTTTAGAACCCTAGTGATGTCACGTTCCTGGAATGAGAGTTTATCTTAGGGGGGATTTAAACCTTTTTGCTCCCCCACCCCCTTGTATCCGCGTTTCGGGATTTGCCAAGTCATTTCCAACGGCTCCTTGCAGCGCCGCCGAGACGGCCGCGTCGCGCTTGTGGTGCCGCACGTGCCGCAAGCACGCGTCCGACGACTGCGTGGACGAGCACTCCGTGTGCACGGTCAAGAAGGCGCGCGGCGAGGAGGCGCGCCCGCTGCTGGAGGCCCTGGAGTCTGGCGAGGCGGCCCTGGACAAGCTGGACGTGATGGTACAAGCGTCCTCCGTGGCGCAGCTCGAAATGCGCGCCGCGCTGCGGCACGACAAGTCCGTCCTGGCCGCGCTGAGGGGCAGCCTGCGCGACGCGGAGAAGGCCGACGAGGACGTCTGGGAGAAGGCCAGGCAGGCCGCGATGCGAGTCGGTAAGGAGACGCATTTCGTTGTACGCTGGCACGACTGTGACTCAATGCTCAAAGGAAGGTGACATTTTGTCACATTCGTGGCGTCAGGCTCCTAGAATAAGTGTTCCCTTTCCAGTACGATCATTTGACCGTGTGCCCGATCATCTGATTGCAAAAGCCACTCTGCAAACTGAAGTGTATACATAGTACACGCTAAAATACACTCGATTAGTCCTATCTAAAAGCATGGGCCAGTTTAAGTGCACATGCTTGGTACACACTTATTTAGCGTGTACATGCAATGTACACTCAACTTCAGCGTGTGCCTAGCAAGTATGCTGTAAATAAAAGTGTGCTTGGAGGCATGCTCTAATAAGAATGTACTATGCACACACTTCAGTTTGCAGAGCAGCGGTAAATTTGCTAGCCAAGAATTTGTCAAGCCATTTCGAATGTCGAAATTTGGCTAGCTTGTCAAATCTAGACAAGCTACGGAGTGTTTCTGCGGGTCAAGATTCACAATTTTTGGCAGTCAAAACGCCTTGCCAATTTTGTGGCAAGCCAACTACTTGCCTTTGCAATGAGATAGTCGGGCACACGGCCAAATGGTCGTACTGAAAAAGAAACTTATTCCGGGGACGTGAAGTTACGTTGAAACGAGCGTCACATTCGTTTCAACGTGATGTCACGTTCCTGACGTTCCTGGAATGAGAGTAAATCTTTCGGAATATGGTAAGGATCTTGGAAGTTTTCTGTTGTTAGTTCCCTTGTCAATCCTGGACGATGTTAATGTTATTACCAGTACTGCTGGAAATTACAGAAATTTTGTATTTGACTGCTGGGCTTTAACCTAACCTCTTTAACCACTACCTGAAGATAAGCTGTTGGGACTTTTGTCGAAGTTTACTGTTGCTTCTGGTCCGCCAGGACTGTGGGAGCACGGTACCCGGATCGTGGCTGATCCTGCCACTAGGTGTACCCTGACCGTGAACTCCGGAGACAAAGTGGTGTGGCGTGGACCTCTGGACGGCAACAGCGGGCTCGTCAAGATGCTCTTGTGCCAGTTGGCTCACCACGGTGACCTGCAGCAACCGCGTCAGCAACAGCCGGAGCCCTTGGGTCAGCAACAGCCAGTGCAGCAGCCGGAGGCAATGATTCAGCAACAGGAGGTGCCTTCGCAGCACCCGACAATGCAGCAGGAGCAACCGCGTCACCAGCAGCTTCAGCAACAGCTGGTGCCAGTGCAGCAAGCGAGGCAACGACCTGATGGTGAGTTCCTACACCCCTTGAAACCTTACGGAGCATTTTGAGCATTCATAGTTCAAACTAATTAACTTTGTTTATTCAAAGAAATAGTTCGTCAGTTACGAAGGATTTTCTTTGTAAGCTTATGTATGCTCAAAATACTTTGCTGTAACAAGCTGCTTTTCTTTGCAAGGCCTGATGTAGTTGTTAACGTTTTCTCAGTTCATACACTTTAGAAGAGCCTGCCAAAAATTGTGACCGCATTGCAAAGAAATTTCTTTGAGAAGAGACAAAAGGGTCGTAGTAATGCAAACAACTTCTCCACAGGTGAACGATGAATTGTCTTTGCAACGCTGCATATTACGTCATTTGTAAACTTGCCAAAAACTTCATCGTAGACCTGTAAATGACCTCCTTATTTTTCTATAGGAAAGTAATGATAATATGCTTTAGAAGTAATTAGGTGGCTGTGTCGTATCATTACGTTCCTAAATCGACGGATAACATTTTAATAATGGAATTAAGTCGCAAGTTCCAAATACATATACTAGGTGTGCGTAGAAATTCATAGTATGAAACCGTCAATTTTTTAGTCGTAGGGTAAGTTGAAGAAGTGCAAACGAATTTCATCGTAGCGCACAAATATTTTTCTTCGCAGTACTTTTTACATACCCTTGTTCTGAACATTGCGAAGAAAATTTATCTGCAGTGCACTGAGAAAACCTTACAAACTATTTCAGGCCTTACAAAGCAAAGCATTTTGGAAGAACAAAGTGTTTTAAGCATACACTGCAAATTGAATGGAAAGACTTCGGGCCAAAATATGGCGAGACATTAATGTCTCGCCAAGTTTTGGTCAGACCTGACAGTCTCGCCAAAATTTGGTCAGACACAAAAGTCTCGCCACAAAACGGTCAAACACAAAAGTCTCACCGCAAAATGTGGCGAGACTTTTTAGTTTGACCAAATTTTGGCGAGACTTTCAGGTCTGACCAAAACTTGGCGACACTTTTATGTCTCGCCTCTGGAGTGGCGAGAAGTATGACCATTGGATTTGTAGTGTACATAAGTTTACAAAGAAAATACTTCGTAAGGTTATAAGGGTGTGCTAACAACTTGTTTTAATTGCAACTTACCATAGTATGTTCTTGACCATGAGTGAAAAGTCGACGGAAATGAACGCGCTGCTCTCTGCCGCAGCCGCCCGCTGGCGCGAGCGCGCTAACGAGGGTCATCGCGTGCTGAGCGACCAGGAGATGGCTGCTAAGATGGAGGTGGGCGCCAGAGTGGCCCGGGGCAGGCACTGGCCCCAGGGATGCACTTCGGACGGCACGCCCCCCAGCGCGGGCACTGTCTCCAGCAATTACGGCAACTCGGACGTGGCCGTCAAGTGGGACCACTGCATCGCGTCGGCAGCAACTTGGTTCCGCAGGTCCCAGCTACGGCTGGTGGCACCCGCTCCGCTCGTGAGTAGACCCACACCTCAAATCTGATGCGTGCACTACCAACCCAACTGTGTACTAAGTACACACTTACAACTGCATGCTTGCAAGTACGCACTTACAAACGCATGCTTGGCCAAGTACACACTTACAAATGCATGCTTGCAAACGCATGCTTGACGCATGGAGTTATACGGCGTCAAGCATGCGTTTGTACGTGTGTACTTGCAAGCACGCATTTGTAAGTGTGTACTTGGCTAAGCATGCATTTGTAAGTGTGTACTTGGCTAAGCATGCGTTTGTAAGTGTGTACTTGGCTAAGCATGCGTTTGTAAGTGTGTACTTGGCTAAGCATGCGTTTGTAAGTGTGTACTTGGCTAAGCATGCGTTTGTAAGTGTGTACTTGCAAGCACGCATTTGTAAGTGTGTACTTAGTAGACAGTTAGGTTTGCTGTGTGCAAGGAAAGTGAGGAAAGTGTTCAAATTTTTGAATTCCACTTATGAACATCTAACGAATCGCACACAAATTTCCAGGAATAACGATATTAATGTCAACCGTCCTTAAGAATATCATCGAATATCACGAGCTTATCTTTCATAAATTTTGAAGAAATTTGATAAATTTAGAACATTGTGTACGAATTTCAGCGAACATTTTTTTTTTTCTGTTTCCTCTCGGATAAATGTCTGAGGTCTGTGGTGGCTGCTAACTTGTGGACATAATTTCCTTACAACTCCAGCTTCATTTTAATCAAAAATACAGTTTTTGTTCTGATCATTAAATTACTACGTACATTTTGTTGTGAGCTTTCCGAAAAGTTCACTTAAAATGTTATTGTCGGACACATGGTCAAATTATGGCGTGGCGAATGCGTGCAGGCAGTTGAAAGCTGCCCCTTGGGGAAGGAGAACTGTCCCGGGGAGGCTTACCTTGCAACCGTCGGCGGAAAGTCTATTTTCCGATGTCGGAAGTGCAAGCGAAAGCGGACAGTGACGAACGCTGTCATGGATGGCATCGTCCGCTCCAAGAAGTCTCACAGTCACAAAAGTGGCCTAGGCTTCTTTGAGGAGACAACCGTGGACCTGCGCCGTGGCCTTTACGTTATCTGGGGCTGGTCCCAGGGCCTTTCTCTCACAGAGAACCACAAGTTGCAGGCCGAAGCAATAAGCAAGACCACCATTCAGCGCATGTATTCAAAGCTGAGAGAGGTCTGTTACGAGTCAATGATGGCAGCTCCGGCTCTAGGTCAAGGAGGTGGTGTTGTTCTCTCGGATACCTTGCAGCTAAAAGGCAGCTGGCTGCTTGGTCTCAAAGAGAGACGGAAGCCTGCGCGGATATTCCGTATTCCAAGAAATACCTCGGACTGCATTGCATCTATACTCAAGCGATGCGTTGCACCTGAGGCATTCGTAGAGACAGCAGACGAAGAAGACGAGCTAAACTTTGTGGCCCATTTAGTTGCGGACATAAGAAAAGCTCAAAATGGCATCCCCGAATCAAGTCTTCCCTTCCACTTGGCTGAACATTGGTGGCGCTCTTCCACTAAGACACCGTTCCGCTCATTGGTTTCGGAGCTAAAGAAGTACAAGCCAATGATGTAAGAGCATCCATTTTTGGTTTAAAAAGGTCCTTTTCAGGACCAACATTCATTTCCCGAGAGAATAACTTTGACAAAGACTATCCCCTTTCCCCCTTTCCCCCTCCCCCTGAATAAAGTTAATTGTTTCCCGTACCTGTTTCATAATGTGACACCGACCTGATGCACGGTGTGACACTCCTTTGAGAAGTCACCGAGGTGTCAGCCCGTGAATCAGGTTAGGAGCAAGGCAGGACCTAATTCACGGTGTGACACCGACCTGATGCACGGTGTGACACCCCACTTGTGCCCCATTCCACCCCTTGCACTGCTGGGGGTTGCTCACCCCCGGAAGTCCTTTCCGCCCCCCCCCCGGCTACCACTTGGGCCCACCACCCTTGTTTCGGGGGCTTCCACCCCTTCCAAGGGGTGCCTCCCTTGGTACATTATTCTAACATATTTACGGACCGGCCCCCAGGGTGGGAGCCAGTCGGGCTGCCTACCTCCAGGGCGGACCCGGGAGCGAAGCTTCAGTGCAGGAATACCGGCGTGAATGACACCGCGTTTTATGAGTAAAGTCATTCCAAAAAGCGGCATGACAAGAAATTCACAACTAAAATTGGCGTTAATTTTTGAGTCACGCCGATTTTTGGCGTGACTTTTCTGTCATGCCGTTTATTGGCGTGACACTTTATTCACGCCGATAGGTTTACAGTGATGTGCATGCGTTTTAAGATACACGAACTTGTCCGTAACTGTGCACGAAAGTGAGCGTTGTTACGCACCAATTCGTGCGTCTCACGCGCATGCTCAATTTTGAGCAAAATGAGGTATGCTTAAAACAAACAACTGTGAAGTGGTCTCCTGTATATAACTAGTCAGTACTTGAACGTACAGTCGGCTTCGCCTTACTTCTTCATGATTTGAGAGAATAATGAGAACGAAAGGAACCTGACTCAAGGCAGGCTGTTCGTTCGTTAGTCCCACCAGGGCAAAACCATCCTAACCTAACTGGGCCAACCAAAAATAACCTAACCTAACGGGGTCGTGACAGATCTTACGCTATTCGCGGCAGATACCCCCTATCGCAACAGGAAACAGACAAAATCGGAGCAGGCAAGTAACAGAAATCATCAAAACAACATGCATTGCTGTGCAGTGCTATTCTTTTTGACACATGGACGCCTCATTCACATTCACATTCGTCTTTCTGTTGCCAACACAAAACAGCAAAAATGAAACGGACTTTTCTTTTTTTGATAATTTGTTTTTGCATTAGCCATTTAAATAAAGCAAACAGAACTTTCTGGCTGTTCCCACAGTTTCATATAATTGCACTTTCTCGGTTATTGCTGATAAATGTTTGTTGCGGCTCCACAGCTAAAGTTGCCTACATTGGCACGTGATCCCGTCATCCCGACTCGCAAACCTCGCTCTCCACACACTGGGTGCCGCTCCATAAGGCTTCGCCTTTTGTTTTCTTTACATCTTAGACTGTATTGTTTAGCGAAGCCAATAAACATGACGCAAGATGAATTGTCATTCCAAATATTCATTTAGTGTAGAACCTAATTAAATCCTCCCTGAAAAGTCCAATTAAAATATGGACATTTTACTTTGTCATTTTGTCGCTCCGTTTTGTTTGGAGTGTTGCGAGCGGTCCCCATCCTTTGCGTGTCGCCCGTCTCGTACCGTGCATTTCCTCTCTGTTGCAGACGCCGCAGATCGGAGCAGCAGACGGGAAACACTACCTGGACATCAACAGCATCAGCCCAAAGACGGACGCTGCGATGTCCAAATTGTTGACCGGCAGAAATCTCGCTCAGGTAACACAATGCACTTGCAAATTTACATTTTCGCGGTCCTATCAAGGGATGTCATGGCACCATACTCGCTCTCAGCCCGTTGCTCTTTTGTTTTTTCTCATCCTAGTACGCATTTGATTTTGCTAATACAATACTCACTGCAATTAAATTGGGCTTACTTATAAATTTTATAAAACTATTATCAAGCCTTAATTGTGATGGAATTCACTATTTAGTAGTTATTCTTCGTGGCGGGAAAAGTTCTTGAAATGTGGAGACTGCAAATTCTGCACTTCCAAGTGTGGAGACGGAAAATTCCACACCTCCATATTTCAGTGGGGGTTTCTCCACGGTTGGTTTCACAGTGTATTTGTGTCCCACTTTGGCAGTGCCGCAACATGGTTCTCCTGTTTTGGGTTCGCAGGTCCGCGTCCTGGCTGGTCTTCCCTGCCAGCAGTTCATCACGTGGAGCCTCAAGGTCCTGGAGCAAGTGGCGCCCCTCCTGGAGGGCCTGCAGTTGGTGGCTCCCGAGCTGCGGCACCTGGGCGTGGTCCAAGCGATGCCGAACCTGCGGGTAAAGATGTGCAATTTGTGAATTTATGTCAAAAAGGGCAATTGCACTACAAACTTAACTGTCAACTAGGTACACTCTTACAAATGCATGCTCGCAAGTACACACTTACAAACGCATACTTGGCCAAGGACACACTTGTAAACGCATGCTTAGGCGTTTGCAAGTGTGTACTTGGCCAAGTATGCTTTTGTAGTGTGTACTTAGTAGACAGTTAGGGTTTGCAGTGTGTATTGTGTCATATTGCACGTCATGCCTTCTTTCTGTTGAATCGTGGTGAAAACGCTGCCACCAAGAATGTAAGGACTTAAATTTAGGGTGTGGTATATTCCTTGTGAAGCCACGTCCCTGCATGGTCCAAATTTGGGAAATTCAATGATCTTCACTCAAATTATGGTCTTAAAGAATACCTTGACTCAAAACTGTAGTGATCAAGACTTTTTCATTCCCCAGAAGGATCACTGAAGTTCATTTCTATTGCCATTACTTTTAATGGCTGTGACTTGAGTAGAGGTGAATATTGAACGGGTGAAATGATGCGCGCACCCCCCGTTCGGGTGGTGAAGGTTTCCGGGGTTCTTTCACCGATCGGAAGTAGGCGCTCACGCGCTCACTCTAAATTCTTGTTGACTTTTAATGCATACACAGATGCATACGTAAGGCGTGTAAAATATTATGCATCACTTGTAAACACTCTCAGCACATATCTGACTTTTGCTCATTTTGACAGTACTGATGCAAGTAATCTGTGCAACCATAATACGTACTTTTCCTTTTTTAAAGAACTACTCCGGACGTATTAAATACAATGTACTGACAATTTGGTTTTTGTACATAGTTTTACAAAGGGCATTAGATATACTTCCTTAGAAAATATGAAGTATTATTGTTGCCTTCTCGAATACGTAATTAATGAGGAAATAGTCAGTAACGTGCTGAGGGTGTATTGAGTTATACCTTATATTATACACACCTCACGTACCTGTCTGTGCATGCATGATCGGAAATGCACAACACAGTGGCGGATCCAGCGGCGGCCTGAGGGGGGGGGGTCAAAGTAGCACTTTCTGCCCAGGGCAAAGTGTTGCTATTTGCCTACCTTTCAGGCGGCTATCTAGGGACAAGAGAGTGGCCGTTGTACTTTCCCCCTTCCCCCCTTCTGGATCCGCGCTTGGCACAACATGTGCTTAAGTAAGCACTTAGTCCATAAGGATGTTGTGTGTTGGATTTGCAGTGTGACAAGTGGTGTCAGTGACTACATTGCTCCCGTAGGCGCTGAGCATCACGGACACGACCAGGGAGGCGCTGCAGATGGCGAGCCAGATGGCAGGGCTGCGCAGCCTGGAGCTGCACTGCCAGGCGTCTGCGCCACTGTCGGTGGCGACGCCCGTCCCGGCCAGCGCCGCCGGGCTGCAGTGGCTCCGTCTCGGCGTGTACCCGCTGGCGGCCGCGCTGGCCCTGCTGCGCGCGCACGCCGGCACACTGGAGGAGCTGCAGCTGGTGGCGGCGTCCGCGGACCCCTACGGCTGCCCCGACCTGGCCGGCGAGCTCCGCGGCTGCGGCCTGAGGCGCCTCAAGAAGGTGGTCCTGCTGCGCGAGACGGCCTACGGCGCCTTCTGCCGCCACGACACGCAGACCTGCGTCATGCAGACCGTGCAGCTGTCCAACGTGTTCCTGGAGGGTGGCGTGGACGTGGCCATCCTCTGCAGCGAGTGCAATGCTGGAGCGGGGTCGTGACCGGACTCGCGGACTACGACGGACCTAGCCTTGCTGGGTCGAAGGCATGGCTGAGCTTCAGAGAGTGATCCAATGAATATAGAAACGGAAGAAGAAGAACAGAAGTGAGCCCGAAAAACCGCTTCCGCGCATGCGCAGACAGACGTTCCCCCTACCACCCGCGCAGAAGCGGTTTTTAGGGCTGGCATTTGTTCTTCTTTTTCCGTTTCAAAATTCATTGGATTATTCTATTTATCGGTGGAATTGTTTTATGACTCGAAGCCCCAACCTAGTTTTTGTCATGAGATTAGATATATCGTATTTTGTTTTGATATGTGCTAATTTTTAAAGTGTTTTCGTTTAACCTGTTCCTTATCATGTCTTCTGATCGGGCCTGCATGATCGGTATACTTCCTGTAATCATTTGCTGTTCATACAGTGGAATCATTTAATTTTAGAACTTTCCTGTTCTACTTTTGTTTGTTTATAATCAGGCATGCTTATTTCTGCATGACTACGTAATCAATGGCTATTGGTTTAATTGTAGTTTGACCCTGCGTGCGAACTTAAGGTTCCATTCCGCATGTCTTCGTCACAGTTGACCTATTAAAATCTATTTATAATTAAAACTTGCGAAGGGCAACCAGTTGTCTCCCCTTTCTTTCTCACCCTCCGGCTTTCCCAAAGTAGCTGTCGCACTCTACCACGCCTCCTCGAAGTCATCGGACCAGGTGCGCACCCAGTGACAAATGCAGAGGTCTACACTGCAAAAAAATCAGTCTCTGATACGGAGCATGCTACGGCGTTCCGTATACCCCCTGAAATGGTGATACGGGCGTCTGCCGTACCACTCCTCCCACAAGAGCGTGTGCATTGTAGGGCGTGGTACGGAAATTTAACGGAAAATGTACCGCTAATTTTAGACCGGAGGTTGCCGTTTCAATTTTCCGTTTGTGAAAAAGTCCAAAATGCTCTACGGATAGTACAAAATCATAAAATCTTGATCCTTTTACACCAACAAAATGTTTTTACAAAGTGCCATTAACATGTATGAGCCTCCTAAACGTGCAAAGTTCGACTGTAATTGACTGTTTGGCTGCTTTGGCTGCTTTGACTGTAGTGACTGCAAATTGACTGTGTGACTGTTTTGGAGGCGTACAGTGACTGGTGACTGTCCTGAGTCACGTACCCCTCGAGTTGACCACTCAGCTCAAGAGTGTGCACAGGATTACTGATTACCAGTGATAACCTACAAAAATACTCAAAAACTCCATAATTTTGGCCAGCTAAAAGCATTTTGGCCTAATTTCATAAGAAAACCCCCCAAAATCAGAGATCCTTAACGTAACATTTAACTAACACTGCTTTCATAACGTAACATAGGACAATGTTCGCTAAAGGTTAAGGGTACGGACTTTTGGAAGTACTTCCAAAAGTATCTCTACACAAATTCAAAACACAAAAAAATAACTTACCCTTTTTGAAAAGATGTCAGAAGTTAAGGTTAATAACTTTAACTCTTACGATAACGTTATGATGCCCTTATGAGGTAAGTTGAGGATCGCTGCCCAAAATCCGATAAAAACGGTGAAACTAGCCACTTTGGTGTGTGATTACCAATGAATACTGGATGAAGTGTACACACGATTACCAGAGTGGTTAACCCCTTGCTACAACCCCCAAAACGGCATGTACAACGCCGCTTTACCTTGTGGATCGACAACGTGGAGGTTTTGTCTGGAAGTCCAGCCTTTTCGTTGTGGTTCCACAGCGTCCAACCTCACAGTGCAGCATTCACTCTACCAAAAATGTCCTGTAAATGCCGTTAATTTATTACCAGTTTTCACTGTAGGCCAATTCACAGCGTTTACTGTGATCTGCTCACGGGATTCACTGTGATCTTGGTCGCGGCGTTCACTGTGATCTGGTCCCCAGTAAACACTGTGAGTTTGACGCCGCTGAGCACCGAAGTACTGCAAATCAGGCTCCAATTCACGGCGTTTACTGTGGCCAGATCACAGTGAACACTGTAACCGAGATCACAGTGAACGCCGTGAACTAGTTCACAGCAAACGCCGTGAATTGAATAACAGCAAACATTGGTAATAAATTAACGGCGTTGACAGGACATTTTTTGTAGAGTGTTGATGGTCACAGCAATTAGGAGGCCGGTGGAAGCTTCCCTTTTTCTGCTGATTACTCCACATTGACGTCTGCGGGTGAGGTGACCCTGGCACAGTATCACGTTTCATCAGCACCACACCTGCTGCGATGCGCTAACGAGCTCTCAACGGACAGTTGCACTGCGCGGCTACATTCTACTCTCACCTTGTGAGCAGCAAGCAACTGGAGTGAAAACGTGTGAGCGACCATCTTGGTCTACTTTGTGTCCTGTTTCCCCATGATCCAGCTAGGGACCCTCTCTGTCAGAGATGAGCACGCTGGCCGCGAATTCGGCCTTCTGATTGGGCCAGAGTAAACTGGGGAAAAACCCCCAGGTGCGAGGCCAGAGTGGAGGTGGCGAGGGGGTAAACACTCCGGTGAACCTTGTACAGACTACTCCTTATTACGGGGTATTACACTTGTATTACGCATGTATTACGCCTCGATTTCATTGAAAAATGACATTTTCTGATACTTTTGATCCCAAAATGTATTACTATTACGCGTATTACGGCGTAATACCCGGCTTTTGTGTACAGCACTGAGATTCCAAACGCTATGAGTATAGCACGTATGGTGCAATGCGCTGTGATATCGCACCATACGTGCAATGCCTCAGCCATATTGCACCTTTGGTCGAGGGGCCAAAAACTCGGGATTTGCGTGTACACATGATTCGGAAAACGCAATGATTTCATGGCTGATTCGCCTTATTTCGCGACGCACCAGGGTGACGTTGAGCGGGATTGTGTGTGATTGTGTTCGGAAAGAAATGATTTCGGACTGATTTTGCCTGGTTTCGTGTGATTCTGCCTGATTTCGGTCGAATTTAGTGATTTTGGTTGATTTCGGATTGCTTGATTTCGCGTGATTCTCAATGATTCGCATGTGATTTCGGGGGCCGTGTACACATGATTGCGCGAGTTTTTGCCCCCTTGACCTTTGGTGCAATGCTTCCCGAAAAGGCCCTATGCTAATGCATGGGAAACGGGAGGCATTGCACTTCATGTGCAATGCTTTTGCATTGCACCAATTGACGCTATACTCTTAGCGTTTGGATTCTCAGTGAGGGTATTACGCAAGTGTTTACCCCCTCGGGAGGTGGAGGGGGGAGTCTCGCACGGGGCGAAAATCGCCCGGTTTACTCAAGCGGTCGAGCGTGCGCATCTCTGACAGAGAGGGTCCCTAGATCCAGCAACTCGTTTTCGACTATATCGTTCACTCAACAGGGTAAGCGAACAGCTATTGACTCCGGGCAATTCGTTGCTTTGGAGTCATGTCAAAAGTCAACACACTCACACTAAATTCTTATGGACTTTTTAAATGCATCATTATGCATTTTTTATGCATAGTTATGCATGCGCAGAAACGTCCATAAGGTAGGGATTTGCGAATCAAGGATTTTCATTTCGAATCGAATCTAAAAAAAAGTTTCGAATCGAATCTGGAAAAAGTTGCCGAATGGAATCGAACTTTTAAAGATTCAGAATCGAATCAAATTCGAACTGAAACTAAAAAAAGATAGTGCGTTTTAAAACACATTTTCTGCAATAAAGGAAGGGTATATAGAGCAGGAGTACTCTACAAATCAAAGAGTGTACATGGTACGCTCTAACTGGAGCATGCCTGCAAGCACGCTCTAGCTAGCGCATGCCTGCCAAGCATGCACTAACTAGTGCATACATGCCATGTACACGCTAACTGAAGCATACATTTACGGCATAAGGGATAGGGAGTTTTCTGCATTAGGAAGCGTGTACATGGCATGTATGCACTAGTTAGTGCTAGAGCGTGCTTGCAGGCATGCTCCAGTTAGAGCATACTATGTACATTCTTTGATTTGTAGAGTACAGAAAGAAGAAAAATCAAATATCTGATCTTGCTTTGGCATTAAAAACAACGCTATGCACGCAAAATTCAACCGTTCCCGAGCAACCGATTCGAAGACGAACCACTGTCGATTCGAAAACTTCGAATATTCGGGGTCGAAGGAAAGAGATCCGTCCCTGAATCGAATCAGTGGTGATTCGATTCGATACCGAACTTTTCGCACATCCCTATGAGGTATGTATAAAATTATGCATCATTGTGTACATTCATTTTATGCGTCTTCCTGCATAAAATGTACACAGTGATGCATAATATCATACATAACATATGGACGTATCTGTGCATGCATAACTATGCATAAAATAGTCCATAAGAACTAAGTGTGCTGTTCGAAAAAAAAAAAACGAAAAAACAATAGTGTCCCAAAAGAAGGCGTTCTCACATCCATCTATCAAATCCAAAAGATTCTGTTAAATATTTACTGTAACACAGCGACATTTCGGTTCCTCGCCTCTAGAATTCCACACTGACATGGAGGTGACGTGGATCGTGCTCGTTCTGACAGTGTTCCAGTCGGAGGCCGCTTCTTTGCAGGGACGTAAGGTAAGGCTGTAACAAACAGTTGTTTTAAAAAAGGGTTACAATTTTAACAATTACAAACACTTTTTTGGTCAATCATTGATCATCTTCTGTAGTTGTCCAAAAAGGACTTAGACAACAACTTATTCTTTTCCTTTATGCAGTTGAGGTGAAAGCTTAGATGTTGCAAGGAGAATAGAACACATACTCTATAAGACTTACCGGGATCCTCGTAGTCACAAGTGGTCGTTTAACTTGGATTGGACTGGTACTTTAGACCAGACTTATTTTTCAGTGCCATTCAACCAAGACCAAGACAGTAAGCATTCCATTTTGGGTGGACATTTGAATTAGCAGTGCAACAAAAGTGCAACAAAAACTGAACAATAAAAGTACAACAGGGATTGTAGAAAGTACAACGAGAACTGTACAAACCAACGAGGCCTATAATGCACTGCTATGCCAGTTCCATTGTACTTTGTACAACAATTGTTTTACTTTGTAAGTACAATAAATACCTGAAAAAAAATTTGCCAGAAATTCGTGTACTTTTGTTGTGGTTTTTTCTTGCAGTGCACCCTCACTGAAATCTAAGAGTGCACTGAAAACACGTCAGTTTTCCTGTGCACAGGCTCTACTCTGGGGGTCCTGAAATGTGACGTCACGTTCGTTTAAACGTGAATCCTGTCGTTCCTTTGAATACTATATCACGTGATATAGTTCAAAGGAACGTGACAGGATTCACGTTTAAACGAACGTGACGTCACATTTCAGGACTCCCAGAGTACATTCACTGTTAAAAAATGGTTGTACAGAAACAATCAGATGAGTGAAAATTTAGTCGTTCCAAAACATAGAAATTCATCATGAACCAAAGCGAAACAAATGTCGTTGAGTCTAGTAAGCGACATTTTGTCGTTGAAGAACAAAATTCTTGTTATCACTCTTTACGATACAATTTGTGTGGAAACAACATCTTTTGCAATTATCTGCTCAATTAAAGCATATTATAAATAATCATCTATTTTGTTCTTCTAAGTCATAGAAAAATTACTATTGTTAAATAAAAACTATGCACAATAAATTAAGCGACAAAAGTACTCTATGAATATTGTCGCAGACATTACAAAATTTCTTTTGGACTTTCAATACTTGTCGTTGATGTGTTATTGTTGGTGCATTATTACTAGTTAGTCGTTGTGAAATTATCCCTTAGTTCCAATACGACTACAGTTTAACAAGCTATTCGCTCCACAACAAATCTTGTCGCTAAAAAAGTTAGCGATAAATGTGTCGCTAAGTTACGACAAAATTTTTATCAGTGTTGCTCTGAACGTGAATCGGGCCTCGACCTGGTCTGGGACCAGCCGATTCACCTTCAAACGAATGTGACACGGCAATCAAACGAACGCGTAACGATTCACGTTTAAACGAACGTGACGTCACATTCCCGGATTCCCGGTGTAGGGGGAACTGACTGCCCACAGTCGTCTTCGCCACGATTCGTTCTGCCTCAGGCTTGCAAAATAATGCAATAACTAGATTACTGCACTTACAGGATGCGATAAATCGTGGGAATCGCCAACTCAGTTTTATCGCAAAAATATGTACCAAAAGTTTTGCAAAACGAATGACAGTTTTCACGCCTCGCGGAAACAACTCCAGCCAAATTTGAAGGGTCAAGGCGAGGAAGAATCAAACACTGCCGGAGCGGGGAAAATCGCACACCCCTATTTGAGAACGGACTGTCACATTCTGTCGCTTACTTTTCTTCAGGTTATTGGAGCCGTACATTGTAAGTTAGTCCAAAAATAGGGTGTCCGATTTTCCCCCACCCCTACGGAGTTCGATTCCCCACCCTGACCCAAACATTGTTTTTATTTGCAGGCGGGCCACCTCACAGGCGAAGTGGTCGCCATATACGAGTGCCCGGATTTTGAGGGAAACAGTTTTCGATTCGGCCGGAATCTAACCCGGCTCAAAGGCCCCAATGGCGAGTTCGGCGCGTCAACAAGTTTTGATGTGTTGAGGGGAACGAAATCCATAACCAAGGCAAGTTGAATCTTAGTATTGTCAGTTGTGATGTGGGACGATAGGCTTATTTATCAGTGAGAACGCGCAGATCTACTGAGTAATAATGAATTCATTTTAAAAGCAATAATCTGGAAAGTTTCCGGATATTTGTCTGCGGGAGTAAGCTCTTTTGTTCAGATGTTCGTCAGGAATTTGCTTTTTTCCAGATAAGATCTGGAAAAATCATGAAAACCAGATAAATATCAGGACAAAAACAGGCCCTTAGGCCCTTCCAAATAACTGGAAGTGCAAAAAAAATATATCAGGAAATTTCCAGACATCACACTGCAAATCCAAGTTCGGGACAGGCATTCACTCGCATTCACTAGATAACGTGAGACAAACTGTCCCACATTCGTACTCTGAAAACTGAAGCGTGTACATATTACACTCTTATTTACAGCATGCTTCCTAGCACACTCTTATTTACAGCATACTTCCAAGCACACGCTAAAATAGAGTGTGTCTGGCATGTACACGCGAAAGAAGAGTGTACCCGCCAAGTACACTTCTAAACTGACACATGGATGCTTTTAGATAGGACTAATCGAGTGTATTTGAGTTCAGCGCGTACTTGCAGGCACACTCTATTTTAGCATGTGCTCGGAAGTATGCTGTAAATAAGAGTGTACTTAGAAGCATGCTGTAAATAAGAGTTACTATGGACACACTTCAGCTTGCAGAGTAAGCGTGGGACACAGATTTGTTATTTGTCCCACACTTACAAACGCGCGACACAGTTTTTCTCACGCTTACAAGCGTGCACGTTATGTAGTGCATGCCTGTCCCACACTTGGATTTGCAGTGCAGTCTAGCTTTGCATAGGGTATGTGCTTGGTTGGTTCGCCATGCACATGAGTTCAGCTTTCTCAATCCATTCTCAACAACACTCAAAAATTTTTTTCTTGTGCATTTCTTAAAACACCGTCCCGATTTCTTGGGAATTGATGTGTTTTGAAGTGGTCACTTCCATCGGGTACCCGCTTCCGATCAGAGGAAAAGAAGTTTTTGTCGGGCCATTTGTGTTACTTTCCACATGTTTCTGGCGTTTCAGGGCAACATTCGCTTTGAATTTTGCTCTCAAGGAGTGACAAAGATTTGCGAGAACTACAGTAACTGGCGGATTGGCAAAGACGGCTGCGCATTGTGGACCAACAAGTTCACAATGTGGAACAAATTTGTAGACACTATTCATCCCAGATTCGAGTGCCCATTCCGAGAGGTGAGTACAAAGCTTAAGACATTTAAAGACGGGTCAACACCTTTTGTCTTTTCCCAGGATCATGCCGGGAAAGTAGATTTGCTGGCGCAGATCGTAATGGTAGACTTGCGCTTATTTTTGAAAAACGTGATTTTGAATGAGTTCCCCGACTCAAAGTGACCGAACTGGTGAAAAAACTTATAAATTCAAATCCCAAGGTCGTACGACTGCCCAAAGCCGTGGCCCAAGGGTCTAGTTATGCTGTCAGGGGTGGGTTATTTTGTTTTCGATTTTTACCAAAATAACCTTTTCTTAGGCTAACTCGGTAATTTTAAGATTCGGTCCGTTTTGATCGATCTTAACTCCTTCATACTCAAACAGCGGTCTAAATCACCCACAACGTCGAAAAAATTTGAGTAGATCTCGAAAGGAATGTACAAAAGGTATGGGACGCTCATGCGATGTTTTGGCAGAAGAAATGCAAGGAATACACAACAATCCATCAATTTTAGGTGACCCGACTCGTCCAGTTTGGGGCGGAGTGGAAAGGGGAGGGGGGGTGGAAATCAGGTGCACTTTTTCCTAAAGGTAAAAGGAACCGTGTAAATACTTAAACATTGGTCTCCTATTTCGAGCCTCCGTGACTGAATCTGATCTTTCACACTCCGAAATGGAATTGTTTTGTTGCTTCAATGTAGGGAGCACGTAAGACCTGGATGGGATCTTAATAACAGCAAAAAAGTTATATATTTTAGTCCTTTTGCATGGTATGTCCTAATTTTCCAGTGTCCTGCCCCTATCTCGTAAAGGACGTTCCGTTCACATCAAATTGGTGAAAGGTAGTGATTTTCCAGCATTTTGTCTGAAAAAAAGTCACCTGACCTTCAGATACATTTCCTACGATCTTTTCGAGATCTACTCGGTTTTTTCGACATTGTAGGTGATTTAGACCGCTGTTTGAGTATGAAGGAGTTAAGATTGATCAAAACGGACCGAATTTTCGTTCTAAGGGTCTTAAAATCGTCAAGGTAGCCTAAGAAAAGTGTTATTTTGGTAAAAATCGAAAAAAAAAAAATAACCCACCCCTGACAGCATAACTAGACCCTTGGGGCACGGCTTTGGGCAGTCGTACGACCTTGGGATTTGAATTTAAAAGTTTTTTCACAAGTTCGGTCTCTTTGAGTCGGGGAACCCATTCAAAATCACATTTTTAGGGGTTCCCAAGAACCCCTATTGTCCGAGGTCCGTGGATTCCTCCCCCCCCCCCCCTCTCCGATTTTCAAATAAACTGCGCTAAACTATTTCAACCATGGAAAAAACGAAAATTCCAATTTTTTTCGAAAATTCATCGTGGAAATTTTCCGTAAACTAGAAAAACATAAATTTGCAACAATCGAAAACGAGAACCGTTAATGATATGAAAAAATGGTTCAAATAAAAAATGTGCCATTCCTCAAAACTAAACCTCCTGGCTCATCACAGTAACAAGAAATAGTCTGTGTTCTGAGCAAATGGTTAAAACATGAAAAATAATCTCCATGGCAACGGCATGGTCCCATCGTACCACCCGTCAAAATTCAAAGTCACCGATGAAGAGAAATCAAAACGCCGTGAAATTCGAAAATGCTAATGCTAACGCATTGCACGGTGTCCCGACGTTGGAATATCTTTAAAGTCTGTCACTAGTAAAAAGTTCGTAGCAGAAACGACGCATCAAATTAATTTTCGTGGGTTGGCACCGATTTGCTTGCCGTCTGCGCCCTTTCGAAAATCGCGAGGCTGAAAAAACGAGTAGGCGCGCATCGAAACTGCCCCTCCATTGTTGCTGAGGTTGGATTGTTTGGCATGCTTTTAAAGGCTGCGGTTGTCTTGTCATGTTTTCCTCAATTCTGTGGAACAGTTCTTACTCACAACGTAAAAACAGCACGATGGTTGGTTTGACAAACTTTATAAACTCGGGAGGGGTGATTTCGGAACGCGGGTGACTTTCGTTTGGCGAACATGAGCACTGTAAGTCGCGAGATCTCTAGGAACTGAAGAGTGTGCATGGCATGCTCCCCCAGGGAGTATGCCACAAAGCACGCTCCATCCTGGAGTGTGCTTGCAAGCACACTCTTCCCAGGAGCATGCTTGGCAAGCACGCTCTACAGAGGAGCATGCTTCCAAGCACACTCCAGGATAAAGCGTGCTGCGTCGCTATTGCAAGGCCCATATGATCGAAGAGGCACGCCTTAATCCTGGAGTGTGCTTTGAAGCATGCTCCTCCGTAGAGTGTGCTTGCCATGCATGCTTCTCCGTAGAGTGTGCTTGCCAAGCATGCTCCTGGGAAGAGTGTGCTTGCAAGCACACTCCAGGATGGAGCGTGCTTTGTGGCATACTCCCTGGGGGAGCATGCCATGCACACTCTTCAGTTTCTAGAGATGGAGTGAGGTGGTCATGGTGTTAACTGAATCAGGTTTGACCAGAACTCTTTTCTATTGGTTAGTTTGAATTTAGCGCATGCGCACTTTGAAATTTTTGGATTTTCTCTTAATCATTGAAAAGTTGACACTGGCACGGTCCAATACTTGGCTATTTCAAAATAGCCAAATGTGGAAATGGGAACACCTTGCAATGCGATTAGCATTGGAATTTTTTTAAAATAAGCGCAAGTCTACCGTAAGGGAGGGTGGGGAACCATGACCACTTTTTTTTTGTGCCTCCTTCTACTCCACCGTGTGGTTCGAAAAGTTAAGTTTCCAGCATGAGGGGATTCTTTGGACCTCCAAGGACCTCTCCCACCCATTGGAACTTGTCTGCAATGCACGGCAGGCTCACAGAACATTTTGGAAAATAAAACGCAAAGTGGTCATGGCGCCCTATGGGGTACCATGACCACCCCGTGGGGCACCATGACCATAGTAATTTTTTGGCCCAAACAAGTGTCCTTTCTAACAGTATTCTCATCGAAATTGTTTATATCGCTGTCCTTACCATCAGGCCAGTCAACTTAACTAAAAAAACACTGTAAAAACCTTCTAAGTATCAAACGTTCTACGATGCCTTAAAATGGACGGTTTAAAACAGTTAACGCTCTAAGGCTTTCAAATTTCACATCCAAAGCTATGACATGTGTTAACATTTTATGTTTGTCTTGCTAAGACGAATCCAAATTCGTATGCAGATTTCAATTTGGTAAATTTTAAGAAAATTATCGCGGTTACTACACTGCAAACAAGCGAATTAAATGCTGTTTCTTATAATGCCAGAGCCATCTTGGTGCAAAGTAGCCACGGATCGCCTTCGCGGCCAACTTTTGCGGTTTGGAGCTCATTTAGTGCAAGAGAAACTACCATTTCAAGTCCCAGTTTCAGAACCATTCTTAATCATCCTGGTGATTCACGATTTGTGATAAAACTATCAATTCTGCAGCAATTATTCAAACCTTATACATTTTCAGAAGCAAAAAGCAAATTTTCGACGAAAATAAATCATTATCAGGCCAAAATATGAGAAAAAACACTCAAATATGTATGGTCATGGTGCCCCACTAAAAAGTGGTCATGGCTCCCCACAATGCAGTTTACGACTCTAAGGCTCCCTGAGCAAGCAAAAAGCTACTTAGAATTAAATGTGATGTTGGATATTTTGCCGGAGAGCCGACATTTTGAGAAAAACCTAAGACATCGAACTTATCTCCTCAAATGTGAGAGTGAGAAAAAATATCTCAGATTTGAAAAACGCCCAATTTAGCCAAAACGCTGTAACAAAAATTTTGGCGAGGTGCTATGGTCGTTAGGGGTGGTCGAATGTACACTTTTTTCGAAATCTCAAAAGTTAGATGGCGCATTTAGTAGTTTTTCTGCTGATTCCGATATGTACTTGGTTTTGAGAAAGGAGTGAAATGAGGGCGCTACCAACCTTTTAAGTTTTGAAAAATTGCTTAAATGCGAATTTTTAAATTTTACTTTTTCTCCGTTTGAAAATACAGACATCTTTTGGGATCGGCAGAGAGAATGCAACAAAATGCACCATCTAATTTTTGCATAATTTTTGCAAAATGGATTTTTGACGAAAATAGTGTTTTTGACCACCCTTAAGAGCGTACTTTTCTCAAAATGTCAATTTGCAAAAATTATCAAAAATTAGATGGCGCATTTTGTTGCATTCTTTCCCGTTCCGAAAATGTACTGTGATTTTCAAACGGAGAAAAGTAAAATTTTAAAAATTCGCCTTTAAGCAATTTTTCAAAATTAAAGGCTGGTAGCGCCCTTAGTTTCACTCCTTTCTCAAAACCAAGTCATATTCGATCAGCAGAAAATACTACAAAATGCGCCATCTAACTTTTGAGATTTCGAAAAAAGTGTACATTCGACCACCCCTAATGGTCGTACCCTTGAAGCTAGAAGGTAGGGCTCTGGCTGAAAATAGTTAGAATTCTATTCTCTCGAAAGTCCGGTCGACCGGTTGCCGTCGGCAAAGTAGTTCCTGAGACCGAGGGGGGTGGTTATGGTGCCCCAGTGGTCATGGTGCCCCACCCTCCCTTAATGGTCAGCATAGTTGTCCTTTTTAAAGTGACGGTTGAAGCAAACCCGCTTTTGGTTGTGGGTTATCGACTTTTCGTTTGCAGCTTTGGTCAAAATTGCCTTTAAAGTCGCCCAAAAACGCGATTTTTAGAGGCATTCGTGACTGTTTTGATCAACTTTGAGCCAATACTGCTCCCAAACTAAGGCGGATTATCACACTCCATATCAAAGGCATGCTAAAGGAAGGTCCAAAGACCAATTGCCCGTTTGAAAAGTACGAAGGCCCGCCTCGGATCAGACGCAATGGCTGCTCAAAGTAGGCCCAAAACACTACGCTCATGAAGGCTCAGATTCAGAGGCACCTCCCCCCCCCCTCTCTGTCGCACTCCCACATCTATTGGGTGCCCTGAAGAGTGCAAGAGAGGCAGAGCGACGAGGGTGCGGTCAGATCACGGTGAGAGACGGTGGGGGCACTCGGGCCTTCCGCCACACATAGCCGAGTGAAGCCCGTTTCTGGACGTTCCGTTGTTCCAAACGCCCCGCCAGGATGCACTGTTCCCCATGTGGGCCCTACACCGTGGGTCAGATGCAAATCGCATAGTCACTGCAACGCGGCGCAGCGCCCCTCATAGTCCGGAGGTTAGCAGATCCCACCTTGCAAATCGTGATATCGGAATGTCACTTTACATAGTTGCAGTGACCCCAAGGATCATTTTAAGAGGTGAAGCCAAAGTGGTCCCCCTTGTGGGGCCCCGTGGCGCCCCCCAATGGGGCCCCGTTTACCTAGATTCTTAACGAAGCGTCGTAGAGCACTGTTAGAAGGGGGTTCGATTTTCGAACCGTGGAAAGGCGGTCTCAATTCTCGCCCGGCTCGAAAATCGGGCTTAAGTAGAATCGAACCCACGTGGGTTCAATTTTCGGACGTGGGGTTCGATTTTCGACCGCTTCGCCGGCTTTCGGCTCTGAGGGCTTTCGCAGGGCAGCGCCTGGAGTCAATTTGCAAACTTGACCGAACACACATCACCTTACAGATTTAGATTCGTCTCAAGTAGACAAACCAAAAATGTCAACACATATCATGGGTTGAAATGAAAAATGAAAGAGTTATTCAACTTCTAATGTCTTTTTTACCATTTTTGCACTCTAAAACTCCAATAACTCTTCCATTTTCTATTTTAACCCATAACATGTCTTGACATTTTTTGTTTGTCTTCTCGAGACAAATCTAAATCTGTAAGCAAATGTCTATTTGGTGAAGTTTGATAATTCACTTGTCTCAGCGAAGCTCAATCCCTACAAAGCCGAAAATCGAACCCTACAGAGCCGAAAATCGAACCCTCATCTTGTCAAAATATCGAACCCTGGATGTATCGGCCACCCCGTCCGATTTCCGAACCGAGATGGGTTGGATCCTACTTAAGGCCGTGTTTCGAGCCAAGGTGGGTTCGAAAGTCGAACCCTCTTCCAACAGTGAGAGTTGCGGTTTGGCTCATTCGATTCAGCGCGCCAAAGAACGTCGGATGAAACGCCTCGACCATGCCTGACAAGCCCACGGGGAACCCCCAGGGCCGGTTGCCTATCTAGAACGGGGTAACACAATGGCGTTTAGAAAATGTTATGTAGAATCTGAACGGAGCGTCGTAGAGAATTGCGGTTTTGCTCATTCGATTCAGCACACGAAAATACATCGGGTTCGACATCGTGACACCCGCCGGGGACTTTCAAGTCTGGTTGCCTACCCAAAACGGGGTTTCAGGTGATAAGAGAATGTTCAGTCCTGTGTTTCGATATGCGCTGAATCGAATGAGCCCAACCGCAACTCTCTCCGACGCTCCGTTTAAAATCTAGCTGACCGTTTCTAAAAATCAATTTTGAACCCTGTTTTGGGTAGGCAACCAGCCTTGAAAGTCTCTGGCGGGTGTCACGATGTCCAACCCGATGTATTTTCGTGTGCTGAATCGAAGAGCTAAACCGCAATTCTCTACGACCCTCCGTTCAGACTCTACATAACATTTTCTAACCGCTAATTTGTTACCCCGTTCTAGATGGGCAACCGGCCCTGGGGGTTCCCCGTGGACTTGTAATCGGACGTTTTTTGGTGCGCTGAATCGAATGAGCCAAACCGCAACTCTCTACGACGCTTCGTTTAAAATCTAGGTAAAAGGGGGGCCCACAAGGGGGACCACCTTGGCTCTACCTCTTAAAATGATCCTTGGGGTCACAACTACAATGTAAAGTGGCATTCCGGTATCACGATTTGCAAGGTGGGATCTAAAACGCACTGTTAACCACCGGACTATCAGGTGCGGCGCTGCGCTGTAGTCACCTGGTGCGCACTATTGCGCGCAGGGGGCTTTGCCCGGGTTATGCCTCAACCTACCGGACAATTGCCGCAAGTTGCCCGATAGTTGCCCAGAGTTGCCCTGAAGTTGCCAGGGTGTTGCCTGAGCGTTGCCTGGAGTTGCCCGGGTGTTGCCCGATTGCCCGGATGTTGCCCGGTAGTTGCCCGCCGGGTGCCGGGCAGGGCTCTGGCTGTGCCCGACCCCTGCTCACCTTTGCACAGAGTTGCCTGGAGAAATTTTATCTGGGGTAAGGGAGGGTGGGGCACCTAGTGACAGGGGCACCTAGTGACACAGGGGTGCCCTGGCCACCCTATGGCACTTTCAGACACCTTGAGGTGGCTTACTTAAAGGTCTTGTGCTGTGGAGTTCAAGTGAAAGTTAGACTTTGAACAAAATATTTTGGCCCCTAGAATAAAAGCAAAAAAAAATAATTACCGAAAATCACAGATTTTACGACTTTTATACAAAATGTTTTCTCGCCATTCTTCCAGTACACGGCACTGCCGATCGTTCTGGCACTTTTAATCAATAGTAAGGACCTTTAGTAAGTTGTTTTCGCTGAACTAGCTAAAACATATTATTTCATTTCCTTTATATCAAATTTTGAACGAAAATGAGCCCCCGGTGCAGGTAGTGACAGACACACTCTATTGACCTTTTCAACGATTTAAACGTTTCAAAACATCGATTTGGCAACCGCGAAGTAAATTGTCACCGATTGTCACATAACGAAACATAAATGAGACTAATTTGTACGACAGTTTCGTAGAACATTGAATTTGATTGGCAATGTAGTAAAATGAATGCAGTTTCTTGGAAAAAAAAATGGCGCCGTTCAGAATGGTTTGATATTTAAAAAGCTTAAAGAGTCTAAAACAGATAATTTTCAATTATAAATTCAATTATAAATTCAATTATAAACAACTATAGCTGGAGCGTCGCTCTATGCTGGTAATGTGAGTTATATGACCTGTCACTAGGTGCCCCGGGCTGGGGCACCAAGTGACAAGTGCAGAGGTCTGCGGGAAGCTACACTCTGAGAAAAAATGACGGTAAATCCTGGATAATTTTTTTGCCAAACTTTACCGTACTTCAAAAACCAGTATCCTCCGTACAGTCTACAGTATTTACCATACTTGTTTTACAAAATATTCCGTAGTCTTTTAGCAGTAGTTACCGTTCTTCCGTACAGTCCATGCCGTAGGAAAGACAGATCTGGTCCCAACAAAGGCCGCTTCCAAGAAGTGTCCACATCAGGATCTTGAAAAAAGGGGGTCGACCGACTGAAAAATTTTATTGCACCTTTCAATAGGTCTCGTCAAGACCTTTCCAACGAGTGGTCGGAAGAGGGGTCCAGGAGGCCGACTTCAGCAGTTGCGTACATCAGGAACTTGGAAAAAGAGGGTCAATCGACTGAACAAGATTATAGCAGTTTTTGATAGGTATTAAAAGTACGGGATTGCCGGGGGAAAATGTACGGGATTCCCTGTAAAAAAAGTACGGCGTTTCCTGTAAAAAAAGTACGGTATTGCCTGTAAAAAACGACGGCATTGCCTGTTAAAAAAAGTACGGTGAAGTCTGGAGTAATCAGTACAGGATATACCGTGATCTTTTCTCGCAGTGTATGTATAATAGAAAAAGGTGTTGTCAAAACGCCACAACATGTTTTTGCGATCAAGGAAGGATCAAAGCAACCTTCTGAGGTGTAAGCAGATTCATTTCTCGCACAGTATCGGAGTGAGTGCCAAAATCCAAAAAGTGTCACTAGGTGCCCCACCCTCCCTTAGTTCCGCACAACTTCGTGCGTTTTAAAATGCATGCACAATGCTATGCATAGCTTATATGCACAAATAACATACACTCATTCCGGGAACGTGACATCATGTTGAAACGAGCGTGACAGAGAGCATTGTGTCACATTCGTTTGGGTGTGAATTGGCTAAAAATCAGCTTGTTCACATTCAAACGAACGTGACATTTTGTCACGTTCGTTTCAATGTGGTGTCACGTTCCTAGAATGAGAGTGCACGTAGTAATTTGTGTGAAAGACAAAAGTACTCGTCATTTCCAGGGCCACTACGTTGTGACCAATGCGACGCTCGATGTTCGGAAGTTGGAATTGATTGCCGTGGAGGACCGAGAGTGGATTGCGACCGTGCAAGCGTACGGCGACAAAGAGGAACCTTGGGTCTGCGCTGTCTTCCACGTCAAGTTGTACCGCACCGGGCGGCGCAGGGCACCCTTGTAGCACGAGCACTTCCAACAACGCCAACTGCGTGCGGAGTTGCTTCGATCAATCGATTGCTCTGCTTCTTCACAGTAAAAACTCGACGAAGATTCGCTTCGTAATACGAGGAAAATGAAGGCATTGTAAAATCTACGAAGAAATGCTTCATATTATGGAGCAAAATCCTTCGTAATACGAAGCATTTCTTCATAATACGAAGCAATTCTACAACGCCTTCATTTTCTTTGTAGTTACGAAGCAAATGCTTCGTAGGCTTTTAAGGGTGTTGATAAAAGACAAGACCACTCCAGATCTTGCGAATAAGATTGACTGAGAGTGCTGTGAAATTTTTTGAAACAGTCATGCCAAGATGGATCGTCGCAACAAAGTTGAAGGCAACGCATCATAGAGAGGGGAGCAGCGAGCAGCCACGTCGTGTTCTGTTAGCTGCCGACGCCTGGCTGCATTCACTCACCATTTATAGAGATTTCAAGTGCCTGACTATATCTAAAAAAAAAAAAGCTAGAGATGTAAAACAAAAGTTTATGCAAAGGGTAGCTTATTAAAATATTTAAAATCGTATTTTTAGTTTTAGTGACCCTGTTTTACTTGTAGCCGTTAACAATATATCGGCACCTAAAGTCTTAATAAATGTTAATTTACCACACCCTGACCGGAGCCACTGTTGTCCTTGCCCACATCAACATCACCCAGAATTGAATGCCGGGCACCGTTCGCGAAGCTGGTCCACGGCCTCCCGATCCACCTGCATGCGGGGACAAATGGAACAGCATGAAGGGGAGCATCGCCAACTTTTCGGTGACCTGTGTGATTCCAGTCAACACTGAAAACGTGATGGTCGGACACATGGCCAACTTATGGCGTGACAAAAAGTCACGCCAAAAATTGGCGTGACACGAAATTCACGCCGAAAAACGGCGTGACATGTGAGTCGCACCCTCATTTGGCGTGAATGACAACGTGTTTTTTGAGTCAAGTCACGCCAAAAAGCGGCATGACAAGAAATTCACGCCAAAAATTGGCGTAAATTTTTGAGTCACGCCGATTTATGGCGTGACTTTTCTGCCATGCCGTTTAATGGCGCGACACTTAATTCACGCCCCTGCAGCGGCACGAAGTCACGCCGATAGATTTTCAGTAAAAACTGCCTTTGATTGCATAATTTCGATCACCTCGTTGAAGGCCACACCCCATTTTTCGAACCTTCTCACCGAGGCGCGCGAATTCAGTGTCACTCCAAAAAATGGCATGACAAAAAAGTCATGCCAAAAATCGGCGTGACTCAGAAATTCACGCCAATTTTTGGCATGAATTTCCTGTCACGCCGGGTTTGGCATGACTTTTTTCTTAAAACGCATTGTGCATACCAATCCACATCGAACATTCACGTCAGATGACGGCGTGACGCACATGTCATGTCATGCTTCCTGTCACGACAATTTTTGGCGTGCCTTTTTGCCACGCCATAATTTGACCATGTGTCCGACCATTCAATTTTCAGTGTAGTCCATTTTCAGAAGTTTTCCCGCCATTTTTAAATTTGAATTTTTGAGTTTCGGCAATGGGCTTTTCCTAAGAGACTAGCAGTCTCATCGTGAACTTATATAGCCTATTACACCGAAAAATGCCGTAACTTTAGATTTGCTTTGACAAATCGCAGTTGCCCGCGACGGTTTTCGAAAATTAAGGCCTGAGCGATTCTCACGTTTCGGGGTAGTTTTGGCGTCTCTGATTTGCCGAAAGTGAGAAATTTCCAATTAAGTTTTTCTGATTATTGGGGTCCTGGATGATACTAGAGTTATGGCAATGGTATTTATAGTAAAGACCCTTTTACTATCTTCCCAAAAACAGGGGCCATAAGGTATTCCCCCTACTTTTAGTGGGTTTTTTTGATCACGGAAATTACGTTATCACGGAAGTTACAAAGTGTGGAAAAACAGCTTTAAAGGCTGACTCGGGCTTGCTGTGGCTTAAAAATCGTTCCAGGGTCAAATGATACTCTAAACCCGACATTTAAACGGAAAAATTTTTCACCTAGTGCTGCTGCAACATTGGGTAAAGGGTTTCCACGGAAGTTAAAGGGAATTTTGATACACGCCATTTTATAATGCTCTAGCCCGCTTTGAGACCGTGTACAGCATCTTAGATTTCCGCGACCCATGCAAATTTTTCCCAGGGACTCCACTTTGATGGCTTGTGTCATGGAAAGTTAAAAGTTTGGCTTGGGGGGAAGGGCCAAACTGCCTTTTCGAAATTTGTGTAGTTAAAATTTAATATACGGAGGACATTTTTTGTTGCAGCATAAGTACCTTTGAAAGAAGTCTGGCGTATTGGTCTTCGGTTGAAATTAGCTCGAGACATGCCAAGCTTCGAATCCCCATCGACAGTGGGCAGCATTTTCGAACCACACCGCCACACTGGGGGCGGAAAGTTCGAGTATGTTCTCTTTGGACAATCACGGAAGTTACATTTGGGGTATTCCAAACGCTACGTAGACCAATCCAACGAACGAGAACTTTTCGAAATGTGTGCGTTTCGTGGGCAATGGCCCTCCCTAACATCAGAAACAAACCCCATGTCGATATCTGCGCTCGTTTGGGCACAGGAGTCAGAAGAAACGAAACTACCCCGAAACGTGAGAATCGCTCGCCTCTCGATTGACAATGTACCGGTCTCGCGCCGCATAGCCCCCAGCCTAGCCATAAGCGTTGCTGCCCCCTGGTCGAATCGACGTCGTTTTGAACACCTTATTGTGGTTGGGTAGGAAGGGCCACAGCAACCTACGCAAGTGTTGGCTGGTTCATTTCTCGGACAGCTTTGCGCAGACTGTCTGAATCCAAACGGTTCGGGGCACCTAGTAACAGGACATACAGCCGGGCTCACAGCACCAACGCATTGATGGTCACAGCAGTTGGGAGGCCGGTGGAAGCTTCCCTTTTTAGGGGCTCCGACGAAGGAGGACCCCTATTGTTTTTGACGGCTCAGATTCTTTTCCTCTCCCCCCCCCCGCAAATCGGGAAATGGTTCTCGCTAAATTATTCCTTATCATGATCAAATTAAAACTACTGAAAATTTCAAAAATTCATCGTGAGAATTTAATATAAACGACTAAAACATAAATTTGCAACAATCGATAACGAAAACCGTCGATGCTATCAAAAAAAAGTTCAAATAAAAAATGTGCCACTCCTCAAAGCTAAACCTCCTGCCACATCAAAGTGACAAGAAATCGTCTGCGTTCTGAGAAAATGGTCAAAACACGAAAGAAAGTCTCCATGACAACGACACCGTGCCATCGCACCAACTGTCAAAATTTAAAGTCGCTGATAAAAAGAAATCAAAACGCCGTCAAATTCCAAAATGCCAATGCTCACGCATTGCGCGGTGTCCCGACATTGGAACATCTTTGAAGTCTGTCATTAGTAAAAAGTTCGTAGTAAAATAAAAAGCAATAAATTAATTTTCGTGGGTTGGCAACAATTTTCTCGGCGTCTGCGCCCTTTCGAAAACCGTGAAGCTGAAAAACCGAGTGGTCGCGCATTGAAACTGCCCCTCCATTGTTGCTGAGGTTGGATTGTTTGGCATGCTTTTAAAGGCTGCGGTTCTCTTGTGACGTTTTCCTCAATTCTGTAACCAGCACGACGGTTGGTTTGACAAACTTTATAAACTCGGGAGGGGTGGTTTCGGAACGCGGATGACTTTCGTTTGACGAACTTGAGCACTGAAAATCGCGAGATCGCGAGATGGACTGAGATGGTCATTGTGCTAACTGAATCAGGTTTAGGAATGTAAAAATACCGATAGGATTCAATGACGGTAAAATTAACGTAATTGACGTTTAGACGACAGACTTCAAATTGATTTGCACAACCGGAACACCGTGCAATGCGTCAGCATTGATGGTCACAGCAATTAGGAGGCCGGTGGAAGCTTCCCTTTTTTCTGCTGATTACTCCACATTGACGTCTGCGACGTCTGCGAGTGCGGTGACCCTGGCACAGTATCATGTTTCATCAGCACTACACCTGCTGCGATGCGCTAACGAGCTCTCAACGGACAGTTGCACTGCGCGGCTACATTCTACTCTCACCTTGTGAGCAGCAAGCAACTGGAGTGAAAACGTGTGAGCGACCATCTTGGTCTACTTTGTGCCCTGTTTCCCCATGATCCAGCAACTCGTTTTCGGCTATATCGTTCACTCAACAGGGTAAGCGAACAGCTATTGACTCCGCTCAATTCGTTGCTTTGGAGTCATGTCAAAAGTCGACACACTCACGCTAAATTCGTATGGACTTTTTAAATGCAGCATTATGCATTTTTAGGCACGAAGTAGCCTTATAGTATACCCAGGATTCAGCCGGCCCGAGATTCAATTTGTGTGGCCCTTTATGCATTTCGGAAATTTTCTATACGATTTTAATGAGACTTTGCAGACTTGTAGAACTTTGAACGCTGATTCTCATGCTGAAATCTGGTAAAAAGTTGGTGGCCATTTTGAGAAAATTTGCTGTCAATCGCCGTTTCCATTGCAAAACTCGACTCGTCAAAGGAAAAAAAAGGGAGTGGGGGAGCCGAGCCGGACCAATAGCCGAGCTTCTTTTTGGGTCTGTACAGCTTACTCCAAAGCTGAAATCAGCACGTTCGAAATGAAAAATTTTCTTGACTGCAGGTAGACAAGATGCAACAATAGAATTGGTGTCGGTTCGAACGCAGTTTTTTCGGGTAGAACTATCCAATAATACTTCTTGATTGGAGTGTTTTTGGACATGCGCAGTAGGTTTGCAACCTGTTAACAGTTTAACCAACTGTAGCATTTGAAAGCTGTATTAATTTTGCTCTCTTTCTTGTTTTTTCTTTGTTTCTGCTTATGAAAATTCATATAAAACAAATTTTCAATTTTTGTGTGATGACTTTCCAAAAAAACATTCACAGAAAATTAGCAAAACAAAAGTTCTTTTTTTCTGACATACAGTTTCTCAAATATTCCTTTTTTTTCTGTCAATAAAACAATTTTGTTGTTGTTGTGATTCAGTTAGCACTAGGACCACTTTGCTCCACCTCGCGACTTGCAGTGCTCAGTTTTCTCGAACAAGACTCACCCGCGTTTCGAAACCATCCCTCCCGAGTTTATGAAGTTTGTCAAACCAACCGTCGTGGTGTTGATACGTTTTAAGGAGAACTATTACCAGAATTGAAGAAAACATGACTAGAGAACCATAGCCTTTTGAAACAAGCCAAACAATTCAACGTCAGCAACAATGGATGGGCAGTTTTAATGCGCGACTGCTGGTGCTTTCAGCTTCGCGATTTTCGCAAGGGCGCAGACGCCGAGAAACTAGTTGCCAACCCGTGAAAATTAATTTACTGCCTTCTTTCTGCCAAGAACATTTTAATAATGATGGACTTTAAAGATGTTCCATTGTCAGAACACTGCGGAATACATTAGCATTGGAATTTTTTGAATTTACCAGCATTTTGATTTATATTTTGTCAAGTTTAAATTTCGACGGGTGACACATCGACCACATTGGTACCACTGCCATTGGTAGTCCCCTGAGCCACAACTTCACAACACCACTTCTTTTCTTCCTCCACACTCTTACACGATAATCAAATTGACTTCGTGACTCCTAGGATTTCTTGAAATCGTATTTTTTATGCATAGTTATGCATGCGCAGAAACGTCCATAAGGTAGGGATATGCGAATCAAGGATTTTCATTTCGAATCGAATCTCAAAAAAAATTCGAATCGAACTCAAATCGAATCTACAAAAAGTTGTAGAGTCGAATCGAACTTTTAAAGATTCAGAATCGTTCAGAATCGAATCGAATTCGAACTGAAACTAAAAAAATTAGTGCGTTTTAAAACACATTTTCTGTAATGAAGGGCGTATAGAGCAGGAATACAGAAAGAAGAAAAATCAAATATCTGATCTTGCTTTGGCATTAAAAACAACGCTATGCACGCGAAATTCAACCGTTCCCGTGCAACCGATTCGAAGATGAACCACTGTCGATTCGAAAATTTCGAATATTCGGGGTCGAAGCAAAGAGATCCGTCCCCGAATCGAATCGAATCAGGGGTGATTCGATTCGATACCAAACTATTCGCACATCCCTAAATCCGTGAAGTCAAGTGGGACCCAACATGGGACCAGGGATCCTTAACTTACCTCATAAGGGCATCATAACGTTATCGTAAGGGTTGAAGTTATTAACCTTAACTCCTGACATCTTTTCAAAAAGGGTAAGTTATTTTTTTGTGTTTTGAATTTGTGTAGAGATACTTTTGGAAGTACTTCCACAAGTCCGTACCCTTAACCTTTAGCGAACACCCCATGGGAACAACCACGTACCATCCACGTAGAATCCACGTGAGATAGGTGGATTAGGTGGATAACATTTTTCTGCCTTTAATCCACGTGACTTTCACGTTGATTTAACATCGATTTTGGCGTCTATAGTGGTTCATAGTAAACCAACGTTGACTCTAGGTGGATAGTCCAACGGATTTGAGGGACGTTGTGTCTGCGTCGATAGTACGGTGACCTTGTGACGAGTATCTAGAGCGGTCCTATCGACATCATTGGTATGTGGATGAGCGCCTTAACTTTTCTACCCGATCTCAATGTCGATCACACGTATCCAAGTTCATTGAAGCATGGTCGTCTGTCTATGCCGGAATCATCGCAGGGGATTCGGACTTCCACGTGGGTTCAACAAATATTATGCGAGGACTTTGGAACTCGATTAGTTTTGAAAGCTGCCGACAGAGGGCCCACTGATATTCTTGTCTTTCCTTACGCTCTCGACCTGCAATTAGGCTGCCAATTCACCATATCCGAGAGCCATACTACAATGCCCATCGGACAATCTAAGTGGACTTGACGTGGTCTTCATAGAAAATGTCTCGATCGTATGATTTTTAGACGCCCTCTCGCTAATCAACCTTGAGAGGACTTTCTAACATGAATGCAGGGTAGGTTAAGACAGATTTCACATCGATTATCGACTCAATCGAATAATGCTCCACCAAGCTCAGAAAGACCGGTACGCGCCTCGATGTAACATCGATGGTCGGTGGATAAGGCGAGTTGCTGAATCCACGTTGCATCCCCGTAGTTTGACTTGGACGTTTCTACTCGATTGTCGAGTCGACCATCCACGTCGATTCCACGTGACAAGTAACGTTGCGTCCACGTCTCATCCACATGGATGTTCCCATGGGGCATTGTCTTATGGTACGTTATGAAAGCAGTGTTAGTTAAATGTTAAGCTAAGTTAAGGATCTCTGCCCAAAAGAAGGCACTCTCACATCCATCTATCAAATCCTAGATATTCTGATAAATATTTACTGTAACACTGCGACATTTCGATTCCTTGCCTCCAGAATTCCGCACTGACATGGAGGTGACGTGGATCGTGCTCGTTCTGACAGTGTTCCAGTCGGAGGCCGCTTCTTTGCAGGGACGTAAGGTAAGACAGTAAGAAGCAAACAGTTGTTTCAAAAAACGCTAACGCTAACGCTAACGTGGAAGCAGATGACATTCTAATGAGAATGTTTATTTTAATGTATGCTTGTTTATCACTTCATTCACCAAAATTGACAACTCTCGACTCCTTTCTCCCGATACAGCTGCCGGGCCCTTTCACGTTTACGCTCTCGTTGTGCTTCCTGGGGGCCTTAGCTTAGGCCGCTTCGCCTGCTTCTTCCCACATATCTTAGCTGTTACACTTCACACGTGCAACGCGCTCCTTCAAGCCAGCCGGTGACACTGTAGCAGTTGTTGTGCGTCCGGTGCCCCCGCTCCCCTCGCCTCGAGCGGCCTGCAGTGTCGCCGGCGGCGGGGCCACGCTGCATCCTGCATCGGTATCAGCCGAGCGAAGCCGACCTAGCTCCGAAGGCGATACGAGCTGAGCAGGCCACGCTTCGGCCCTGCTTGAGAGCCGAGCCGAGCCGGCCGAGCCTTGCCTAGGCCTGCTACGCAGCACGCAACGCCACTGCGCCCTGCGCTGGCGGCGGGGAGGTAGAGGGGGGGGGGAGGCCCCATGCCCTTTTCCGGCCCAGGCCGGCTTCACGCACGCACAGACAGACGCACGCACAGACGCACGCACGGTCCCGCCCCGCCTCAAGACTATCTCGAGAGTAAAAGCAAGCTGACACCTTCATTACAATTGTATAGCTTGCTTTAGCTTTAGCAACGGTGTCATCTGCTAAAAAGGGTTACAATTCAGCGGCCGTTGGGCATAAGGGCGTAAGTCACATGGGAAACCCATTGGCAATATTGCTCTGAACGTAAATCGGGCCTCGACCTGGCCTGGGACCAGCCGATTCGCCTTCAAACGAATGTGACACGGTTATCAAACGAACGTGTCACGATTCACGTTTAAACGAACGTGACGTCACATTCCCGGATTCCCGGTGTAGGGGGAACTGACTGCCCACAGTCGTCTTCGCCACGATTCGTTCTGCCTCCGGCTTGCAAAATAATGCAATAACTAGATTATTGCACTACAGGATGCGATAAATCAAGGGGAAATAACTCCAGTTAAATTTGGGCACCGAAATTCATCAAACTTGTTAAATTCACGGAAATTTATTAAAATTCATCGAAATTCGACGGAAATTCATCGAAATTCTATGGAAATTCATCGAATTTCGACAGAAATTCATCGAAACTCGACTGAAATTCAATAGATTTGTACACCGAAATTCACAGTGATAAATAGTGGGAATCGCAAACTCGGTTTTATCGCAAAAATATGTACCAAAAGTTTTGCAAAACGAATGACAGTTTTCACGCTTCGCGGAAACAACTCCAGCCAAATTTGAAGGGTCAAGGCGAGGAAGAATCGAACACTGCCGGAGCGGGGAAAATCGCACACCCCTATTTGAGAACGGACTGTCACATTCTGTCGCTTAGAATTACTTTTCTTCAGGTGATTGGAGCCGTACACTGTAAGTTAGTTCAAAAATAGGGTGTCCGATTTTCCGCCACCCCTGCGGAGTTTGATTCCCCACCCTGACCCAAACATTGTTTTTATTTGCAGGCGGGCCACCTCACAGGAGAAGTTGTCGGCGTATACGAGTGCGCGGATTTTGAGGGAAACGGTATTCGATTCAGCCGGAATCTAACCCGGCTCAAAGGCCCAAATGGCGAGTTCGGCGTGTCAACAAGTTTTGATCTGTTGAGGGGAACGAAATTCGTAACCAAGGCAAGCACAATCTTAGTATTATCAGTTGTGATGTGGGACGATGGGCTTAACAGTGGAAACACTAAGCACACAGGTCTCCTGGGTGTAATAAAGGACTCATTTCAAAAGCAATAATATTTTTTTTCTGGAAAGTTTCCATATATTTGTCTGGAAGTAAGCTTTTCTGTTTAGATGTTAGTGTGGGATTTGCCCTTTTCCAGATAAGATCTGGAAAAATCATGAAAACCAGATAAATATCAGGAATGTACTCATCTGAGTACACTCTCGTCGGAGTGTACTTATGAGTACACGCTGAACAGAGTGTGCTGTCTGAGCACACTGTTGAGTTTGCAGAGTACCCAGTCAGAATTAGGTGTTCAAAACGGATCCAGATAAATATCAGGACCAAAGCAGGCACTTCCAGATGATTGGGAGTGCAAAAAAAAATCTGGAAATATCCAGACATCACACTGCAAATCCAAGTGTGGGACAGGCATGCACTACATAACAAACGCTAATTGTAAGCGTAGGACACAGATTCGTGATTTGTCACACACGTGGGACACAGTTTGTCCCACGTTTTCCAGTGCATGCTGCCAGGGATCCTTCACTTACCTCATAAGGACATCATAACGTTATCGTAAGAGTTAAAGTTATTAACCTTAACTTCTGACATCTTTTCAAAAAGGGTAAGTCATTTTTTCGTGTTTTGAATTTGTGTAGAGATACTTTTGGAAGTACTTCCGAAAGTCCGTACCCTTAACCTTTAGCGAACATTGTCTTATGTTACGTCATGAAAGCAGTGTTAGTTAAATGTTAAGTTAAGGATCTCTGCGTCCTACACTAGGATTTGCAGTCTAGTCTAGCCGTGCTTTGTTTGGTTCGCCATACGCATTAATTCAGCTTTCTCAATCCATTCAACACAAAAAAAAAAAAACATTTTTAAAGTGCATTTCTTCAAACACCATCCTTATTTCTTGGGAATTGATGTGATTCGGGTTTTGAAGTGGTCGGCAACTTCCAACGCGTATCCGCTTCCGATCAGAGGAAAAGAAGTTTTTGTCAGCCATTTGTGTTGGTTTCCACATGTTTCTGGCGTTTCAGGGCAACATTCGCTTTGACTTTTGCTCTCAAGGAGTGACAAAGACTTGCGAGAACTACCTGAACTGGCGGATTGGCAAAGACGGCTGTGCATTGTGGACCAACAAGTTAACAATGTGGAACCGATTTGTAGACTCTATCCATCCTCGATACGAGTGTCCCTTCCGAGTGGTGAGTACGAAGCTTAAGACGTTCAAAAAAACGAGTCAACACCTTTTGTCTTTTCTCAGGATCATGCGTTATTGCAGTGAACCCCGGTAACTTAAACAGTCCGAACTTACACTCCCGTAGTGCCGGGAAAGTAGACTTGCTGAGGCAGACCGTTATGTCCTACACTAGCAAGTATCGGCCAGTCATGTCCCGCGCCTGCTGGTGTCGACCACTCCGATCGCGGAGATGAGGACTTCTCTTGACACTCGCACGGAAATGAAACCATTTGTGTTGGTGGTCAACTTTGTTCGACAGTACATACCACTTGGACAGAGCGACATCACGTGGGTCTATCCGTGGTCAGTGGTGTCTCTCTAGACCTGCGCTGGCGGACTTACCCACCGCCGCGCCGCTTGCTCTCAACTCACTCGCAATGAGGTTTACTTCACATGACGAAGTACCGTAAAGCTTTCAGCATTAGCCAACCAGTTCAAATACAATCAAAGCAGGTCTGAACAAAATTGCCTGGATCTCACTCAATTTCCTCAATTTTGTTAGGCACCGTCAATTTGTTCACCAAATTGACGGAATATAGGAAAGCTTCACAGCACTTCGTCATGTGAAGCAGGGGGTGGCAACGGCCTAGGGAGAGCGTGAAGCGATGCTCGCGCCGTCAGTGCAGAGGTTGCGCACTTGTTCGAGATTATGAAAACTAGACTGTGTTTTTCAAAACACTTTGCACTGATAGAAAGGGCTTGAAATTTAGGGTGCATTAGGCTAATTGCCCTACTCGAAACTCCTCCCTTACCTAATATAAAGGAGCAGTAAAAACACCGAAAAACACAAAAATCATAAAATTTAGGAAGAAACTCGAATGCGCCATGTTGATGTAAATGATTTGCCCTTGTGTTCGGTTGAATTGGAAGTATTGGGCAGTCTACTAGGCCTAATGCACCCCAAATTTTGTGCTCTTTCGATCTGTGCAAAGCGTTTTGCGATCAACGGTCTAGATCTTACAATCGAAGCAAAATAAGTAACCCCTGCACCTTACTCGCGCATGGCTTCACGCGCCTCTTAGGCCGTTGCCGCCCCCTGTGTGAAGTAAACCTCATTGCGAGTGAGCTGAGAGCAAGCGGCGCGGCGGTGGGTAAGTCCGCCAGCGCAGGCCCAGAGAGACGCCACTGACCAGGGATAGATTCAACGTGATGTCGCTCTGGCCAAGTGGTATCGCTCCCGACTCCTAACTATCAGGTCGGTGGGTCGAATGCCGCCTCCAGCGCGCGGCTTCGTTTTGCCGCGGCCCGAACGTCCCTTTAACCTGTCTTTTGGGTATCTTTTTTTTTCGGCCAAAAAAAGATGGATAAAAGGCCATTCAAAGACACCTGGAAGACACCCACAGCACAAGATACATTAGGGTGACTTTTCTCTGCACACAAAATCTATGTGTATACTCAGTATACACTTCTAGGTGCGTGCTTACAAGCATGCACTTCTAGGTGTGTACTTGCCTAAGCACGCACCTAGAAGTGTGTACTTGAATGAGTACACACTTAAGTGGGTCATTCTACAGAAATGTTACAATTTGATGTCCCTGCCCCTTTGTGACGAAACGGTTCGTCCTAGAAAGACGCGGTTTGCGCGGTGAGATGGTGCTTTTTGTGCTTCAAAATGATCCACTATTGGGTTTGAAAGTTTCTGAGGTTTTCAGATGGCTGTGGCCTCCGGAAGGTGCAAAATGTAAACTCCGTGGCTGTCCCGATGCGTAGTTCACTAAGTTTGCGCCTCTCGTATGTCTAAACGAGACGCAGGACAATCATTCCCGACGGCTCTATTTGCTAAGGCACTTTTATACTTTAACTTAATCCCACTGACTTTAGTAAAAAGTTTGAAGCTTTGTGCCTGCACAGAATTAACTTTTGTCCCGAAGTTTTTACTTCCCTAAAATCCACATGTGCACTGTAACGAGTTTGGCACTACAGGAGACAAACGGGAAGTCACAGCCTCAATCTGAAGACTGCAATGGATTCCGGATGAAAAAACACATCTAGCCACCAAGTTTGAAGGATGTGAGTCCAATGGCTAGCATCTAATTGGTACCCAAATTTCAAAAAGGGGGTCGCGTATTTTTTTTGTATGTAAACTCCGTACCCGATTTGCCACGGATCCCCTGTGCGTCAAACTTTCGAATTGTGGATAAAAACAATGCTTTGGTGGTCCTTTAGTCAGCTGTGTATGCGCGTTCTACTGTTCCAACTCATACGGCTGCAATCCAGGTATTTGCTTCAAAATGTAAACTCCGTAGGCGTCAATTTATGTAAACTCCGTAGACATTTCCCCTATGATTTCAGTCGAGAAAAATTTTTTTCTCGAAAAGTGTGACGCTTGATATCGTTTCGCATTCTGCATGCCGAAACAAGAAAAACAAGCCCAATATGAATGAAATCGGACAACTTTTATTTTTTCACGGTTCTAACTGCGAAATTGTAACATTTCTGTAGAATGACCCAAGTGTGTACTTAGTGAGTACACACTTGCGAGGTGCATGCGCGGCATAGGGAAAAGGCATGCACTTCTATGTGTGTACTCACTGAGTACACACTTATAAGTGTGTACTCATTCAAGTACACACTTCTAGGTGCGTGCTTGGGCAAGAACACACCTAAAAGTGCATGCTTGTAAGCACGCACCTAGAAGTGTGTACTGAGTACACACATAGATTTTGTGTGTGTCTCCTGTGTATCTTTCAGCAGTCTTTGTGCCAACTTTTTCGAAAAGATAAAATAAAGATGGATATAAGTGCTGCAGTTCTACGCGGGAAGAGCAAGATGCGGACGTGTCCCACGCTTGCAAGTGTGAGACCCGGAACGGGTCACCTGGTTTGCCTCACACTTACGAGCGTGAGACCCAGTTTGCCTCACACTTGCGAGCGTGGGCCCTGTGGCATTAAACCACGGGGAACCATAGGCAGCAAGTGTTGGACAAACCGTGTCTCACACTGGTGTGAGACAAACCATGTCCCACACTGGCAAGCGTGGGACGAACGTGGCTTACACTTGTAAGCGTGAGACATTGTGGTTCGCACTAAATAGTGTGACCTTTGACAGTGTTTTCAACCTGGGTGGAATGAACTGTTTTACTGCACGTTTCCATGAAAAACCTGACCATAATCTATCCTACGATTGTCCTAAACGTCTGTTTTCGAAACAATAAAAAGTGAACTCCATTCAATGCAGTTTTAGCCTCAAATATTTTTCTTTAACTAGATCATAAATGAAGTCAACTTCGTGACTGCCAGGATGTCGTGATTTCGTATTTTTTTATGAATGAGCTTTGCCCAGAACTGCGCATGCGATTTAAAATGCACGTATTTGTTCATACACTCTTAAAACCTTGCGAACCGATGTGTTTGTAAGCGTGCGAAGAGTATAAATTGTTTGCAATGCGAAGAACGCATCCGTTGCAAATCAGTAGTTCGCATCCTGTGAAGAAGTGCTTCGCAATCTGCGAACAACCAGTTTGTATTGCGAACCCTTGCAAACACACTGTTCGCGAAATTGCGAACTACTAGTTCGTAATGCAATGCAGCCAAACTCTTCGCAAGCTGCAAACCAAATGGTTTGTAATACGAACATATTCTGCGCAAGATTTTGAGAGTGTGTGTTCACAAAATGACACGGAGACTCGTCATTTCCAGGGCCACTACGATGTAACCAATGCGACGCTCGATGTTCGGAAGTTGGAATTGATGGCCGTGGAGGACCGAGAGTGGATTGTGACCCTGGAGGTGTACGGCGAGAAAGAGGAACCTTGGGCCTGCGCTGTCTTCCACGTCTCGATCTACCGTACCGGGCGGCGCAGGACCCTCGGTAGCGCGGCCACTCCTGGCAACGCCCACTAGTTGACTCGATTAATCGATTGCTCTGCTTCTTGATAAATGACAAGACATTCCCGTTCTTGCGATTAAGATTGACTGAGCGTGCTGTGGAATTTCTACTGAAGTTCATGCCAAGATTGATAGTCATAACCGAGGGGGCAACCACACTGTATGTTTGGGGACACAAGATTTCTTCAGGCTAAAAATTTCATCGGATTTCGCAAGATTTTAACCGATATTCCGCCCAAAATTAGCTTGTTTTTGGCCTTTTTGGAGGCAAGATTTCAGATTTCCTAGAGATTTCAAGCGCCAAGGGGTCACAAGATTTCTAGAGTGGTTGCCTCCTCGGTCACAACTTAAGTTGATGTAGTTCAAAGCAAAGCATCACAGAGAGGGGAGCAGCGAGCAGCCTCGCCGTGTTCTGTCGACGCTGCCGACGCCTGGGTGTATTCACTCTACCATTTATCGAGATTCTAAGTGCCTGCCTATACCTTAAAGAAGTTCCGCCAAGGCAAGCTTTAGCAAAGCGGTCTTGCCGTGGACCGGCCGGGGAAGCCGGGAAGAGAGGGGGCAAGGAGGGAGGGGGTGGCTGTGAGGAGTGGGGACTGGCGCGGCGAGGCGGCGTGGCGGCGCAGGACGACGACAGACGACGACGACGACCAACACGACCATGCATTCCCCTCCGAGCGCGCTGAATGGGTGGATGGATGGGATGAGTGGGATCGTATGCAGAGCTAGAAGCGGTAGCAAGACCGCTTAAAAAAAGTTCCGCCAAGGCAAGCTTAGCAAAGCGGTCTTGCCGTGGACCGGCCGGGGAGGCAGAGAGGGGGCAAGGAGGGAGGGGGTGGCTGTGAGGAGTGGGGACTGGCGAGGCGGCGCAGGTGACGACGACAGACGAACCACGACATGCAGTCCCCTCCGAGCGCGCTGAATGGATGGATGGGTGGATGGATGGGATGAGATGAGTGGGATTGTATGCAGAGCTAGAAGCGGTACCAAGACCGCTTAAAAAGTTCCGCCAAGGCAAGCTTAGCAAGCGGTCTTGCCGTGGACCGCGGCAGGGGAGGCCGGGCAGAGAAGGGGCAAGGAGGGAGGGGGTGGCTGTGAGGAGTGGGGACTGGCGCGGCGAGGCGGCGTGGCGGCGCAGGACGACGACAGACGACGACGACGACCAACACGACCATGCAGTCCCCTCCGAGCGCGCTGAATGGATGGATGGGTGGATGGATGGGATGGGATGAGTGGGATCGGATGCAAAGCTAGAAGCGGTAGCAAGACCGCTTAAGAGGTTCCGCCTAAGCAAGCTTAGCAAAGCGGTCTTGCCGTGGACCAGCCGGGGAGGCCGGGCAGAGAGGGGGCAAGGAGGGAGGGGGTGGCTGCCGGGTGGCTGTGAGGAGTGGGGACTGGCGCGGCGGGGCGGCGTGGCGGCGCAGGACGACGACAGACGACGACGACGACCAACACGACCATGCAGTCCCCTCCGAGCGCGCTGAATGGATGGATGGATGGGATGGGATGAGTGGGATCGGATGCAGAGCTAGAAGCGGTAGCAAGACCGCTTAAAAATAGCTAGAAATATCAAACAAAAGGGTATGCAAAGGGTAGCTTATATTTAAAATATTTTTTTTAGTTTTAGTGAGAGACCCGGTTTTACCTGTAGCCGTTAACAAGATATGGGCACTAAAAATGTAATGAAATGTTAAGTTACCACACCCTGACCGAAGCCGCTGTTGTCCTTGCCCACATCAACATCACCCAGAATTGAATGCCGGGCACCGTTCGCGAAGCTGGTCCACGTCCACGGCCTCCCGATCCACCTGCATGCGGGGACAAATGGAACAGCATGAAGGGGAGCAGCGCAAACTTTTCGTTAACCTGTGTGATTCCAGTCAAAACTGCCTTTAATTGCATAATTTCGATCACCTCGTTGAAGGCCACACCCCTTTTCGAACCTTCTCACCGAGGCTCTAGTAAGTAATCCATAAGATACCTTTTCAATACCCACACCCTCAGATTTTTATGATGAAAGGGTCATCATAACTTACGTTGAAATGAGAACACACGTACTACAATGAAATTCATGCGTAATACGATGAAATCATGCGTACCTTATGAAGAAACCATGCGTAATACGATTAAATCATGCATACCTTACGCTGAAATCTATGCATATTACGTATGTGCAAATTTATGCGTACCTTACGATGAAAAACCATCGTAATACGTATAAAAATACGATTTCAAGAAATCCTAGGAGTCACGAAGTCAATTTGGGTAGGAGTGTGGGGAAAGCAAAAAAGTTATGTAAAAGGTAGGGGGTGGCTCAAGGGTGGCTACGAATGGCAGTGGTACCAATGTGGTCGACGTGCCACCCGTCAAAATTTAACCTTGGCAATAAAGAGAAATCAAAATGCCGGGAAATTCGAAAAATTCCAATGCTAATGTATTCCACAGTGATCCGACAAAGGAACATCTTTGAAGTCCATCATTATGAAAATTTTGGTTGCAGAAAGAAGGCAGTAAATTAATTTTCGCGGGTTGGCAACAATTTTGTCGGCGTCTGCGCCCTTGCGAAAAACGCGAAGCTGAAAACACGAGTATAGTCGCGCATTAAAACCGCCCCTCCATTGTTGCTGACGTTGAATTGTTTGGCTTGTTTCAAAAGGCTACGGTTCTCTAGTCATGTTTTCTTCAATTCTGTGTAATAGTTCTCACTCACAACGTAGCAACACCACGACGGTTGGCTTGACAAACTTTATAAACTCGAGAGTGATGATCTCGAAACGCGGGTGAGTCTTGTTCGCAGAACATGAGCACTGAAAGTCGCGAGGTGGAGCGAAGTGATCATGGTGCTAACTGAATCAGAAGTACCATCAAACCTGGCTAAAAGGAGCAGCTATATGACCAGCTTATTCAAAAAGAGACTAAAAGTCTTAAAGCGACTCTTAAACTACATTAAGGAAAGATAATTCACAGATGCATGTGCACAGGTACGCAGTTAAATGGCTCAATTCACTCCAAATTGAAGAGTAACAAAAATTTTCAACAAAACAACAGCAAAAACAACAACGCAGCGCTGCGGGATTGGTGCGGGACACTCTCATAAAAAGTCACTTTCCGGCCGGCCGATCCAAATGGCCACGTTCGAAACGACACCAATTCTATTGTTGCATCTTGTCTACCTGCAGTCAAAGAAATTTTTCATTTCGAACGTGCTATTTCAGCTTTTGGAGTAAGCTGTACAGACCCAAAAAGAAGCTCCGCTATTGGTCCGGCTCGGCTCGGCTCCCCCCACTCCCTTTTTTTTCCTTTGACGAGTCGAGTTTTGCCATGGAAACGGCGATTTTGACAGCAAATTTCTCAAAATTGGCCGTTGACTTTTTAACCAGATTTCGGCATCAGAATCAGCGTTCAAAGTTCTACAAGTCTGCAAAATCTCATTAAAATCGTATAGAAAATTTCCGAAATGCATAAAGGGCCACACAAATCGAATCTCGGGCCGGCTGAATCCTGGGTATACTATAAGGCTACTTCGTGCCTAAAAACGATCATAAGATGTTGAGAGTGCAGATACAGTTTTGAGTGTCCATTCCGAGTGTCCAGCCGTTCCTGAGATGTTTATAACTTCATAACTCTTCCACAGCGCACCCAAAGACAGTCAACACTTCGAAGCGTTTGAGATAATTTGAGTCTCTAGGCGTTGAGCGTAAAGAGACTTAAAATAAGTGTGAAATGAGAAATAGTTCGGACAAAATGCGTCGGTGAAATGCCTGAAATTGACGCTTGTTTTGCGCACCGATTTAAAACTAACTTCTCTGTGGGCCAATGCAAGCCAATGGCAATTGGATTGGCTTCTATTTAGAAGACACATAATTTCCACGCATGTAACATTCGATTTTCGCTCTAAAAATAGTATTAAAACCAAGAAATGAAACGGCCGCTCACGTCCGAGTCAACCTCATCCTCGCTTCCAGCGACGCCTGACTCACGTTTGGATGTGCCCTCCTCCTCCTTGGACAAGTCTACGAGTTTATCGTCGTCGCAGGCGACCTCCGCCTCCTGCCCAGCCCTTATCGGAGTTTTTACATCGCATCTCCAGTGGACTGAGTGGTCCACTCAGTCGTCAAAAGCAGGCTAAGCCTTCATTGTTTTGAGAAGCAATTTTTGTTGTGTTTCCTTCATTAATATTTTAAAAATTATTCTGTTTTGATTCCGTTTATAGACAAAGATGTTACACTCCCATCATTTTCCCTTACAGGAATGGATCACGTCGTTGTTGGGTGCTAAAAGTGGGTGATAAAGTGTGTCAAAAAAGGGGTTCTCACGGTACCTCCTAGATGCACCACTAAAAGGTGTCTAGCCGCACACACCCTTTTAACCGCGAGAAAGGGGTCCAAAAGGGGGTCTGAGGTGGGTTCCAAAGAAAGTGCCAAAAGTGTGTGCGGGGCATGCTCCGCGTAGGCGAAGCGACGCTGTAGTCGGGATTCGATCCTCAGACCTTTCTGTTGTGAGACCTCCACTTTACACCTGAGCCATAGCGCTTCTCCTGTCAGAGGATCCGCGCGCCGCCCATATGCTTCTACAAGTCTGGACTTAGAACGCCAGGCTTGTTTTCCTTGCCGGGCGCGTATCCGAAAACGAAAAAAGAAGAGTGTTGCGACATCGCTCCCCCCCCCTCTTCCTTTCCCCAGGTCCAGGTCCGCGGTTTCTTTCTCCAGTTACAGAAACAATAATTCGCGCGAATATGAAAGTTTACGATAGACCTGAGGCTACAACCAGATTCTAACGCCATCCTCTCATAGAAACCAGGACTTTGCAGGACTTGGAAAGCCGCGACATCGTGACCGTCACTCCTCTGAATAGCAACTTGGTGGCGTGCATGGAGTCATCACCTGCGCCGTTCTGCATCGCGTCAAAGGCACCCCTTTTTGGACCCCCTTCGCGTGAAGAAAAGGGGTCCACGTCCGTTGGAGGACCCCCTGAGCTTGAGCAGCAAAAAGGGGGTACTGAAAAGGGCCCCTCGTCTCTTTGAGAGGAGAAAACGGGGTCACGAAGGGGTTCAAATGAACGAAGAGGGTCGCAGTGGGTGATTTTGGTCAAAAGGGGTATGAAAAGGGGCGAAAAAGTGGTCCGCAGTACCACTTATCGACCACCTTCCACAAATCCATTTCTGTAAGGGTTTCCCCCAAGATTTGGTGGAGATGTTTGAGTCAACCTGTGACCGACACTGCTGTCAACAAGATGATACGGAAAATAATTGATCACATCCAGGCGCATCACTCTTTGAGTGATCCTATGAACCGCACTGTTAGGGCCGGCCCTACATAGTTGTACAAACATCATCCATGCCCAGAAGAACGGACGATATTCAAGTTAGAAAGTACGATGGAGTAGCAAGAGGGTAGTCCGGTACAGGAGTACGTACATAGTGGCACACGCCGGGGCCGTCCCCCCACCACTTCTAGCCGCGCCGGACGGCCCCGCCCTCCGCTCCCTTTCCGCTACATCCCTGAATGCCCCGTGCTAAGCAAGTAGTACGTTGAATGTACTTGTGGATTGCACGTCGTGTGCGTCTCAGAAGTACACTGGATGTACGTCTCGCTTGTATGGTCTGTTCAACCGGGGTCGGGTTTGGGGGGTGGGGAATGAAAAGCTGGAAATGCTGGAAGTGATTTTATTGCAAATTGATTGTCCTTGCTGAAAATGTAAAAATAACCATGATCTCTTTCCAATAATACTAATTGATTCAGAAATGAACACCCACTAAAATGGAATGCTATTGGAAGAGACCTGAAGAAAATTGAGAACAAAAATGATAAAACAATCTCCCTATTGCTTTAATGCACAGAAAAAGTAACAAAAGTATTCACAAATCACCCAATAAATGAAAATTGCTGACGTGCATAAATAGACCATTAATTGAACACGTTTGTTCTTGCAGACAGGAAAAGTGTAAAAATAACCATAATCTCTTTCCAATGGTAATTAAATAAGAAAGTAAAAGGTGTCGTCAATAACAAATAGACATAACACTCAGTAGGTGCCTCAATTTACTAAGAACTGAGCCAGGTCCAAGTTTCATCCCACATCTTCATCACTTGTCTGGAACAAGGAAAATAAAATAAAAACTAACAACAAAGACACAAGCTAACTAAGTTAAGATAAAATGAGAGTAGAGTGTACTTACATCATATTAAAATGGCCCACTGAAGAAGATGTACTGGAGTTGTAGATTCTTGGACAGCGTCAGAGTTCAAAACAAACAGCATTAGTTGTGACGAGCCACTAAAAGTAAAATCTGGAGTTCAGAATCTCTATCGAAGGCCAAGTTTCATCCCACATCTTGGTCCCTTGACTGAAAGATATAAAATAAAATAAACACCTAACAAAAAATACATAATCTAACTAAAATATGATGAAATGAGAGAGTGTACTTACATCATAATAATATGGATCACTTAAGATGTTCAAAAATTTCAGACGTGTGGACAATGTCAGAGTACAAAACAAAAATAGTGTGCAGTAGCTGAGACGAGCAACTAAAAAGGAAATCTGGAGTTCAAGAGTCTCAATCGTAGTCCAAGTTTCATCCCACATCTAGATCACTCGCCTGGAACAAAGAAAATAAAAACTATCAACAAACACACAAACCAACGAAGGTATGATGAGATAATATCTACTTACATTATATTGCGTTGCAGACTTTGAGAACAAATAAGAGCCCAGAGGAATCATATTATAATGTTCTGTAGCTGATGCGCCTTAGTTTTAACAAGAAGTGGAATTCGGAATCATAATTGGAGGCCGAGTTTCTCTGAAACATGCGAAAAAGAGATTAGCACCTAAGAGTTCATAACCTCAGAAGTGGTATGGCAAAGTATTACCGAACTTGCAATTTTCATCGGAAAATCTAGCGGAAGCTTAAGATATCCCTGTGTGAGTGCCGAACACGATAAGGCTCGTAAAACTCTTCGAGTTCACAACTACAGGTTATCGGCAAAAACAAAAGTTCGCTTTCAGTGCGGGCGGACCTTGCTAGGTTACGGGCCGCGGCGCCCGGCCGCCGTTAGAAAGTAGAAATATTGCTTACCTTTTTATTCCTTGTTGAAGAGATCACTGGAGTTTAAACTGTGTTGCACTTCCATCTATTATTCTTGTGACCAGGCACAGATACACAACAAAGTTTGAGCTAAAGGAAAATATAAACAAAGACAAGAGCGCCGAGAGCGCGCGCAACGCGCAACAGACAGAAAGACAGACAGAAGACAGTCGGTAAGAGTGGCCAACTTAACAAGACTAGAATGCTGCCAACCTAACCAAGGCGGTTTATTTGAACGGCTGTCCGCGCGAGGTCCTCATTGGCCGACGGTGGCGGCGGGGCGCGGGGAGGACGGGGGACATCCCCCACTCCCACTCCGTCCACGGCGGGCCGCAGCCCGCGGAGCGCAACCCCTGTCCGGTGCAGGGATGTACAGTAAATGACATGTACGGTACATGGCATACCCCAAGTACGAAGGTGATACGTGGAGGAGCACTTGAATGGCCCTAACATCTCGAGAAGTACGTTCATCGTACTTCGGTTTCTGTACATCCAGGGGCTGATGTAGGCTCGGACTTTACAGTGCGTGGCAGCAGATCCGATCCGAGCCCCGGGGGCGCTGCTGCAGGTGCATCATGGTCTACATGGGGTCGAGGAGGATTTCGGCAACGGATACGGCTAGAATGGCATGTGAGAGTATTTTGGGAATCGGGGCGACAACGGTGCCAGTTTTGAGCGAATCGGAGAAGTTCGGACCCGGGTTCAAATCTCAGTGGGGCACATTTTGAACATTCTTTTTATTCGAGTTTTGGCATTGTTTACGATGTTTTTGAGGGTGCTGATGACGAAATTAACATCTATGTTGACCCCAGACTCAAGTTCAAATCACATCAGGGTCAAACATCGGCGAAATTCGCACATTTCTTAATGTACGGGACGGGCCAAAGTTGCCGATGTGTATCGCTACTTTTCCTGTTATTAAGGGAGGGGGGGGGTCTTGTCACGTATTTTTAAAAATATCGGTTTAATAAATTTAAGCAATGAGAGCTGAAAAATGAACGCGTGTAAGCAATGAAAACGCCCTCCCGCGAAGTGAATTAAATGTTTTTGAAAGTTACTGAAGCGCTCAGTTTACTCGATTGTATAAGAAATTGAAGAACTGAAATTAAGTGATGCATTATGCACGATTTCTCACTCATGTTCAAAAAATACGTCACAAGTGGGTGTGGGGAGGGAGGGTCAGCTGAATGTGACGAAGTTATGATGGGGGAGGGGGGGGGGTCAAAAACGACCCAAAAACGCGTGACGTATTTTATGGACAGCCCCAACCAATGGCGTGGGCGTAGAGCCCCGAAAAGTATTAACACAGATTTCTAGCTCATAAAGAAATTTCCATGAGTGTTGACTCAATCTTTACGAACACTGTTTCGAACGCCTGACCACAAAATGTTGAGAGGAAACATTTCCCACTTGTCTTTGTAAAGGTACCACTATTTTATTTACACGCATTGCGATATATTGTTTCATAAAACTGCACATTGTATAAAAGAATTTGTCTGAAATTTGGTGAAGCAAGTTTTACGAAATATTTCTTCCTTTTACCAATTTGCACTCTTGGAGGTGAAAACTGCAAGGGATGTAAGCAAAATAATGATCAAAACAGTGCTTTTATTTTTTATTTTAATAATATTCAAGTCGGTCCGCGACAGTCATGTATTTATCCAAAGAAAGCCTTGCCCACACGTTAAAAGGGCCAACGTCAAAACAGAAGCCACTGATTTTATTGAAATCATTACTAGATTTACATTGTCAACTTTTAACTAGAATACAAGCACAAGTTTCTAGGATAGAACTATTGTCAACCGATACATAACTGACGTGCAAGGAAACAGGAGGCAAAAATGCTAGTGCTGGTTCGACAACCGACCTTCAAGACCTTGGATGGACATTCAAGTAACAAGCGGTACCAGAGCAGAGTAGAATTTTGAGACTCGAGAAGGTGAATTCATATTTTTTCGACCACAGCCACCACTGCGTATACCAAGTCCGTTTTCAGCCAATCTTGAGTATAATGGCCGAAGGAGGCCTCGTAATGATCAAGGGCAGACTCGTCTACCTAGAATGGGTTCTGACGTGAATTTTGAGAGTACTGCTATGTCGGAACTTTTTATTGCAGACTGTGCACTCAAATGGCTTTTCCCCAGTATGCATTCGAAAGTGTGACTGCAAACCATGTCGCCGAGAAAACGTCTTGCTGCAAACTGTGCACGCGAACGGATTCTCGCCCGTGTGCGTCCGAAGATGATGCCTGAGACTACCTGCACTCGCGAAATCCTCTTTGCAGACGGAGCACTGCACACGCGTAGTCCTTAAATGGGCGTAAAGATGTCTTCTCAGGTGTGCATCCTGTCTGAACTTCTTACCGCATTCTGTGCACCGATAAGGCTTCTCCCCAGTATGACATCGATTATGCAAAGTAAGAAAATATGCTTGAGAAAACTTCATCGTGCAAACCAAGCACTCGTAGGGCTTTTCTCCTGTATGGGTTCGAAGGTGCATTTTGAGATGTTCTTCTCTTCTGTACTTCTTCTGGCAAACCTTGCACTCGTAAGGTTTCTCCCCAGTGTGCGTTCGGAGATGTACTCGAAACCTCCTGCCATCAGAAAATTTCATGAGACAAACCATACACTCGAGAGGCTTCTCCCCATTGTGTGTTCGAAGATGCCCTCGGAGATGAGCTTCTTGTCTGAACGCCTTATTGCAAACGTCGCACTTAAAGGGCTTCTCTCCAGTATGGGTTCGGATGTGTGCTTTCAGAACATTACCATAGCCAAACTTCTTATTGCAAACAGGGCATTCGTAAAGCTTCTCGCCCGTGTGGGTGCGAAGATGACATCGGACCTCAGAACTGTTGGCGAACTTCTTGTTGCAGACAGCACACTCGACAAGTTTCTCTCCAATGTGGGTTTGCTTCTTTTTCAAAACAGAGCAATCAACAGGATACGTCGCTAAATTTTCCTCTTCGTTAGAATTGGATTCAATTTCTTGACCATCGGCGAATTCACAGACAGCAGTCATACTTCTTCTCCTGAAAATAAAATAAATAATTTTAAAAACAAGTACAGCAAACGTCCCGCTGTGTCGTAATTATGTTTCGACCCCTCCTAAGAAAACCATCTAACTCTCTTGGACGCTAGGAGACTATTCTAAATCGTTTGTAGTTCATTTTATAGGAAGCGAAAGGAAGTTCAGATCAATGTCACAAATCCGGGAGGCGTCATGTCAATAAAAGGGTAAAAAAATCTGAGTCTCAATGTGTCAGCCAGCATTCCAACGGTTCTCACTGAAGTTCCAAAGCGCTCTCCCTGACCGTTGTGTTAAAAGAATCTATGCCTACTATTGCGCTGACTGAAGTTTATCGTTGCCGACTGAAGATAGTTTCCTTGTACCGCGGCGAGTTAGGATGGTTTTCTAAGGAGAGGTCGATTTCACGACTCGCTTGACACGGAGAACGTCAAGTCTTCGTGACACTTACCGCGTGGCGTCGGATGTCGCTGAAACTTGAGGCTGATGGGTGTTCTTCGGACAAATCGACGCGGCGTCTCCAATGATCTGAAAAGAAAAGGCCACTCATGAGTGAGATGTCTGCGTCAGCACCATTGGACTCTCAGCACGTTGAACTGCTCATTGTAACACAAAGAAAACGGAGGCTTCGCAGCCTACGAGGAAAATTGTTTGAAAACAAAGGATTTTGTTCGGAATGCAAAGAAAAAAATTCTTTCACAGGCTGCGAAGAAGTTCTTCGTAGGCTACAAAGGACTTTTCCTATGCTTTACGAACAAAATGTTGTTTTAGAAACGATGTCTTTCGTCAGCTGCGGAGCCTCCGTATTCTTTGTGTTAAGTTACTACGAGCAGTTTTAAGTTGGAGTTCTAATTGCGCTGGACCAATTTGCAAAGAACCTGTTAGTCTTGTTAACTCTGTGAACAACTGGCTCGTAACACAATCAAGCAAAACTCATCACAAGCGGCAAACCAAGCGAACACATTGGAGTGAACGCAAGTGCGCTTGGGGTCTGCTCTAGCGTAACTTCCAACTGTTACGCATGTTATACACTTTCAGGCCTCAATATCCTCAGAATTTGACTATAAACAGTAAACAACCTAAGAACATACAGTAAATACACAGTCGGTAAGAATCTACGAAGCATCGCTCCGTAATAGAGTATTCTGGTCGTCGCCGATCGAAGAACAAAGCCGGAACTGGCGCCGGCTACATAACCTCCCAGACTTCCATTAGTGGATTAGTTACTGAGCTTTCTGTGGCGTATCTTCTTCACAAGCACATTCGTTTGTTCCAAACACTTTTTGACACAGGAAATTAAAATTTTTGTCGGCATTTCTCGCTGGAACCGGGCTTGATACCTGCTCCGTTTTTTTTCCGGCTTCCGGGTTTGTTCTTCTTTCTGTTCTTCGATCGGTGACGACTAGACAGCTCTACTCGTCGGAAACTAAGACATTGTAAATCCTGCGAAGAATCGTTTCGTATGGCGAAGCCATTGCTTGTAAATAGGCAAAACTCGGGAATTTCTGCATCACGCTAGAGCATGCAATGATGGGCACAAGTGACTCGACTGAGACGCGAGTACATACCCCCGAAGAGCTGAGGTTAACCTGCGGTGCAACCTTTTTCAAATCATGTCAGATACATCAGCACTTCGTCTTGCCACCGTGCGAAATCTCAGCCCAGCCCAGTCGGATCGTCGACCGATTCAACCACGAATTCAATCACTGCGACAACAAGCAACGAGTACTTTTGTTAACTGTTCCACCACGATGCTCCGCGCAGTAAAATCAGAATCGATGATTCAGTGACGTCTTGGCGTCAAAACGAGAAAATTACGAGAACAGCGACATCCTCTAACCATTATGGCGGCCCTCTGTGCGTTTAGAAACGCTCGGTCCGTTTCGGGGCAACCACCTGGAGCAACACAACGGCACTGCAATAGGGTACCGTAGAACGGGGTAATATGAGACAAATTTCGAGTTTTTTTTTTTGTAAATTTCCCCCGTTTAATTTCAACTTGAGATGCTGAGGTGTTCGTCACTTGTTCATTGACCCTTTGGCTACACTCCCTCCAAATTTCAGATTTTTAGGTGCAGTAGGGACCTTTCAATAACCCTCGGAATGCCGTCCCATATTTCCCTGCAATGTGGGGTAATATGAGACAAAAGAGAAAAATGGTAAAGAAGTATGGAAAATTAACTCATTTAGGCGGGTTTGGAGCTTTTTAAGTTCTTTTCATTCATTTTAAAGATGATTGGGGACTAGAATGAAGAAAAGATAAAATCTGGAGGGAAGAAAAATGGGTGTCACTAAAGAGAGCTGAAAAATGTCCAAGAAGTCATGAGTTGTGCCTGTCACATGAAAATACTAAACGAAGAGCATAGATGCCGGTCAGGTAGTAAAAAAATTCGTGTTAAAATCATTATTACTTGAAATAATAACAGTGGAGTATGTTTGGCCTCATGTTTCAAACGAAAAGAGGTGTCTCTATTTTCCCTGCAAGGTAACAAAATTGTATTCCATCTGGAACAGGCGGCCCGGGAGTAGACATAACAGAACCAAATTTTGTCCTGATAATGTTGACATGATTGCCTACAGATTTAAACCTCGTTCGGACGAGAACCCGAGTTCCAACCGAGGTTTCTGGGGAGGTTTTTACGAACTTTATAAAACTTGTCAGAATTTAGAGGAGTTTCATTTGGTTCTTAATAATCCTGGCGAGTCTCCGATTGCCTTCGTGCGTTTCCTATGAGCTGCCAAGGCCTCCTAGATCACGAAAAAATAATCACGATGGTCTTCTGAACAACCGCTTGAGAGCAGCACGACAGAAACCAAAAAAATGGCGCTTTGTCTCGATTTTCCTTCATGTCTCATATTACCCCGTTCTACGGTACTTCGGAGGAAATCCATACCGGAAGTCAGCGTCAGAACGGGAGAAACATGAGAGCGTCGTCAGGCCGTGCTGAGCGGTGGTGGGGGCAGCGTGCGCGCGCCGCCTTCACCCCCCACTCCGCCGCTTTCGACCCCCACCGCTGCTCCGCACAGCCGCACGATGCTCTTTTGATTCTCACGTTCTGTCGCTGACTTTCAGGCAAGGTTTCCTCCGTACTACCCTATTATCGGCCGGCCTTTTGCGTTTGGACGTTAGTTGTTTTTCTCGTTCGCATCATTTGAGTTTATTGATAAGTTTCCGGTTTAAGATGAGAATTGATCAAAAATCTTTCCCTTTATCAACCACGTTTTAATTACTAGGTAGGTGTACGCCAGACAGTGGCTTGTCGTAACAGGCTTCGCGACGCTGCGCCAGTTACGGAAATAGTTCGGAGGAAATCCAGACCGGAAGTCGACGTTACAAAGGTAATACATCTCATGCGTGACTCTTATACACATACGTTTAGTTTCTCAAAGTTAAGGCACATTGAAGTGTATTTCAAAAAACCATATTCACATTTATTACTGGCCACTCTAGGGAGCAGCTGTGGTTGCAGTGAAGAGTTACCTGTTACGTAGATGGGGTCACTGAGGGTCCCTTCTTCAAAGGCATTCAATATTTGAACATACTCTTTGGTCTTCAATTCACTTACTATTGGGTAACTTTCACCATTCCATGACACCATATCGGAAATGATCCCCAATGCTGGTTCGTGTTCATCTGAAATTTTCTCCTTCGACGTACTCCTTGTGAACGTACCGAATGGACACATACATCAGCTCTTGACGGGATTCATCAGTAGCCTCATCTTTTGATGAGTCCCTTCAAAAATTACAGAAAACCAATGTGTTTTTCCTATTTTCTCACAATCACCTCACAAATTTCCTCACCTCAGCCCTCTCGAAGTTCATTTTCAGTGGTCTTCCTCATATATGTAGCTCGTGACGAGTCCTCCAAATGTCTTTTCAGGACTTTGTCACCAGCATCACAATGAAATCTCAAGAGCACAGTAATAACTCTACGAAGAACCGCTTTGTAACAGGAAGAAAATGAAGGCATTGCAAAATCTACGATAAAATGCTTGTGCGTCTTCTTCCCTGTCATCTCCTTGTGCAGGAATAGTGAAAGCGGTGGCACTGCAGCTCCCCTCGAAAAATGGAGATGTTCATAGGCCTCATGCAAATCACGCATTGTCCATCAGCTTCTGCAACAATAAGAAAACAATGTTTGATGAAAACAACTGAGGCATTGTGACCCTCGGGGCAGTCTCAACCCTAAACATTTTGATGAAGAAAAATTGTGAATCTCCAGTACCTGTGCTTGGAGGGAGGGGATTTTTTTTTTTTTTTTTTTTTGGGGGGGGGGGGCTGCGGTACACTGTCGTATCGTGTGAACCGGCCTCGCCGCCTGCACCGATCTCCGTTCCTGCAGCAGGTACTTAAAGAGCTGCTGCATTCGCTGCATCGGCGGGTTGTCGTTCAAGTTGCTGAGGCCCCTGGTCAGCTTCTCCCGGTTGGCAGCCCTACCGCTAGTCCTGGCCTGCCCAAACCATAGTCGTGCCCCTCAGTTCTTCTTACCAGGATCTCCGCGGCCTTAAAGGTTATTACCTGCCATCTGCCGGGCGAGCCTCAGAGTGTTTAACATACGTGAGAAAAGTTACCTCGAGACCATCTTCCGAGCCCGTCAGCGTGCTGACGAGGTGGGACCGTCGGCGCCGTCGTTACTTTTCGGTCCGGGTTCTTCCGTCGAGTCGGAGGTATCGTTTGCACAAAAGTACGTTACGTACACTACAGTTATAACAGCAACAAACAATAAATAAAAGAAAAGCAAAATAAACACCTTTTGTCTGATAAGAAAACAGACCGCCACACAGTTCTGCACATTGCAAACCATTCTCCACGTTTCTCGTGACATAATTCACCGTCTCCTCTTTGACCACAACATTGACCACTACATAGAAGCGCTCCCACACTGGACTGAAGGCCTTTTTGCCCGGAGGTTTAGGAATCCACTGTATCTAGACACCCGCGGCCAAACCTTCGCGAACCTGATCCTGTAAGATCATTTACTGCTGTATTAATTTAATAATTGATAGATACTCAGAACTTAGACAGAATAACAAAAATAAATATAACCTGAGACGGCCCTATGACCTCGTACTGGAGACCCATAATGGAAAATTTGCAGAAAAAAATCCAATCTATAGCGGAACTAGGTTCTTTAATCGATTGCCTTTGGATATTAAGAAACTGGTCATGAGAGATCCAAAAAACATTTAAAAAAAATGATAAAAAAAAATACCTGATAGACAAAGAATTGTACTCCATCAAAGAGTTCCTTGCTAGTGATCCTGTATAAATTGTGTAAATTGTTTCTGTCTGTGACCACATCTCATTATAATGAATAAATATATTAATATTATTATTAAAGATTAGACATTTTTGATGTCGAATAGTAAGAATCTGCATTTTTATTTTGCAGTTTGTTTATTGGCTGAGCGATAGCGAAGCCTGTTACTCCAGTGGGGTTGGAAAGTTTTTCCTGTCTCTCTCTCCCTGTGTGTGTGTGTGTGAGTGTCCGTCTGTCCGCACTACTACTCTTGAACGGCTCGGCCGACTCGGCCGAGATTTGGCAGGCAGGGTCATTAGGTATATCCTTAGCTCGCCATGCACCACAATTCAGCTTTCTATCACCATGAATACCTCGTTACCGACAAATGTTGTCATGTCATGGGGGGGGGGGGGAAATTGTCGTGACTGGCGCAGCATCGCGAAGCGTGTTACGACAAGACACGGACTGGCGTACACCTACCTTGTTTATTCATGTATCATAATGAAGCAGTCTCCTGGACTTTCAAGCAGTGATGATGATGATGACAACAATGAGAATGTCCACTTTGACTCTTCGTTAGAACAGAAATGGTTAATGGAGGGAATTTATTGCGTGTTCTTTACAAATCTTGGCTTGTCGCACTTGAATAGGGTACTTTCGTAGATTCCTGAACCGGAAGTACGTAGACGCCATGTTGACGGAAGTAGATCCAAACTTGACATGGGAAAGAGACGTTCGTCAAACGTACCGGCCACACTTGAACATAAACAGTTG